GACTAATGGTGAATCAATCAATAAATTAAATGTAGATGTGAAAAAACTCTTGAGAATCATGTTTGCTGTCCAGACTCAAAGTCCCTCAGTAAATACGATGAGATGATATTAAGGGCGACACGGCTGTGAAGTGGTTAGAGCTTTCGCCTCTCACCGAAGTCACTGGTTTGCCTCCAGTGTAACAGATCATAGTATACCCCCAGTCTGGACTATACCTGGGGTTGAACGGAACTAGGCTAGATTATACTCCGAGTAGTATACTGTGGCCTAGGCTAATTCATACCCCTCAGTCCAGATCATGAGTATCTTTTGACCTGGAGGGGTATGGTCTGGCTTAGTTTATCGTACACCACTGGGTCCAGTTTGGCCAAGAACAGTTTTTCTCTCTAAGTATACTCTGGTCTGGACCAAACTAAGATAAGATAGAACTTTATTGATCCCACAGGAAATTGTTGTGCCAGAGTTTCAGTACAAAGGAACATGCACAAGGAATCACATGACTGGGTTTAATCTGGGCAGGGGTTAGGTTGACCTCTAGACTGACCTTTCTGGGTGGAGTTTGCATGTTCTCTCCGTGCATGCGTGGGATTTCTCCGGGTACTCTTCCCACAGACCAAAAACATGCATGTTAGACTGATTGGTGACTCTGAATTGTCCCTAGGTGTGAGTGAGAGAGTGAATGGTTGTTTGTCTCGTTTGTCTCTATGTGTCCCTGTGATGGACTGGAGACCTGTCCAGGGTGTCCCTCGATTCTCACCCAGTGACAGCTGGAGAGAAGTGTGTACAGATGGATGAAGTTGATATTTAAAACAAATACCGGTGCATTGAATTGTGATCATGTGAAGATAACAGAGTTGTTGTTTTGTGGAGATAGTAGAATAAATGTGATGTGAATGACTCTCAGCTACTACCACCTCAAATGTTAGCTCAATATCTGTACAGCTGCCTGAGTTGTAGCTGTGTTTGAGTTTACAAAGGTCTTTTAGTTTTTGGTGGCCACTTTGAAATGGGTTGACTACAATGAATGTGCATCCACTGATTATTTTCAGATTCATTCAATTCCACTCAGTGGTTCATGGGATATTTTGCTGACACAAGGCAAAAACATTATTGTCCTTTCACTTTTCTTCAAAGGAGCTGTCCACGTCCAGCTATCACTGTGTGAGAGGCAGGGGACACCCTGGACAGGTCTCCAGTCCATCACAGGGACACATAGAGACAAACGAAACAACCGTTCACTCTCTCACTCACACCTAGAGACAATTTAGAGTCACCAATCAGCCTAACATGCATGTTTTTGGTCTGCGGGAGGAAACCCATGTATGCATGGGTAGAACATGTAAACTCCACGCAGAAATGCCAGGATGCAAGACTGCGACATTCTCGCTGAGAGGTGACGCCTCTAACAACTGTGCCAGCTGTGCCAGCTGTGGAAATACCACACCTGACATAATCTGCAGTTTCTAAAGGGCTCTCCCACTACTTGCACATATTAGCCTTATTCTGTTGTTATCTATCTATTCTGCTGAAAGCTGTTTGAGCCACGTGAAACTCCTAATTACTTTAAAAAAAAAAAGTTAATTACATTTTTCAGCTGAGGACGTTGCCGTAATTTTACCGGTGTATTGCATTCACGAGGCGATGACGTACATCGGTTGTAGTGAAGAAGAAAAGACAAGGAGTCAAGACTAAAACATTACAACGTGACAGTAAATTTGTATTTTGTATTAGTTTTATGCACAATATATGGGTCAAAACCATCAACTTGAGCAACATGTGATGTTTATTAGCTCTGAAGCTAACGCTAAACTGGAGAAAACCCACGCATGCACGGAGAGAAGATGCAAACTTCACCCAGAATGTCCCCTGGCTAGGATTTGATCTGGCGACCTTCTCGCTGAGAGGCAACAGCTCTACCAGCTTCGCCACCGTGCCGTTAAAAATTATATAATGTCCAAAATTAACTTTCAAGCTGAACTGAGCTAGCGCTGAATCAACCAGTCTACAAAGTTTACCCAGAATGCATTGTCATTAAGTTTTTTAAACTTATGAAAACTAAAACAGCCTCCAATATTTTTACACCTCGTTTTATTGTTCCAACTGGTCAGATTCCTTTAAATATTAAAAATCTTGCAGTACACAATCAAAATAAAATATTCATCCATGGTGTCCGTCTCCATTTAAACCTTTACCAGAGTTGGTCACATAACCTTTGACCGTCACTATCACCCACAGAGGCAGCAAACAAGTTACATCACTCAAATAGATGATAGGCCAATTTATTTGTGCATCCCTAAATGTGACTTCTTTTGTGTTTGTATTTTCAATCCTCTTTGTCCTGCATAAAAAAAATTAATTAAATCTGATTAATTGTAACATGTAACTGTAATGCACTTCCCACAGTGATGCTGTGACATTAACACTGATAGGATGAAATGATAGTAATGTTTGGACATTTAGAAGTGAGGTTCTGTGGAGAAGTTATAAAGAGTTACTATCTTACCTGCTGCAGATAGCTCCTTAAGCAACCTCTGCTTGAAGAAAGTTTATCTCTGACCAAACTCGTGAGCTAACAGCTAATGCAAACGTAACTAAGACCAAAGTAATTACTGTCGTGTTAAAACGACTACAAACTACAAAACTTCATAGCATGCTAACGCTACTTTGTACACCTTTTTAAGCAGTATTTGTTTACATTACACAGTTTAAATAATTCTGTGGGTGTTTGCAAGCACTAATAGCAGCAGGTAGTATTGTCAAGTCTAGACTTGTTTACAGACAGCAACAATCCACATTAGGCTTGACTTTGTTCAGACTAGCCATTAGCTTGTCACTTTGGTATGAATTACAGCGTTTCTTCAAACTGAGGTCGTTCAAAGAGCAACAGGTAAGATAATAACGTGTCAGGGCTTTGGAAGTGTGTTGTATTTGCAGATGATACCACTTTTTTTTGTTCGGGTGAAGATATTGAACAGATGTTGGAGATGATACAGGCAGAATTCATAAAAATACAAACTTGGTTCCAACTTAAGTTATCATTAAATTTGGAAAAACAAACGACATGATATTTTGTAATAGAAATAAAATGATCAAAGCCCCATTTAAAATTGACAGTATTGAAATTCATAGAGTTAATTAAATTAAATTTTTGGGTGTGGTTATTGATGAGAAGCTGACATGGAAACCTCAAGTAAATTACTTAAGAATAAAAACAGCAAAATCAGTTGCATTAATGTTTAAAGTAAAAGAGTTTTTGAATGACAAAGCTTTGTATATAGTGTATAATGTAATGATTGTTCCATGTTTAATATATTGTATTGAAGTTTGGGGAAAAACATGCAAAACAATTACAAACCCTATTTTTATTTTACAAAAAAGAACTATAAGAATTACTAGAAGGAAGTGCTTTTGTCACCCAACAAATATATTATTTCATCTGTTTAAATTATTAAAATTTTATGATTTGGTTGAATATAATATTTTACAAGTCATGTGTTAAGGTCATAAAAATATTACCCCAAATATTCAATAAAAATGTATCCAAAAAAAGAGTCATTATAACCTTAAGGGAATGGAAATGTTTGTAAATCTCCATTTAGAACTGGTCTGAAGGAGCTGCGTTGTAGTTCACGGAATAAGATTGGAATTGTCTTGAGATCAACGTAACAATTTCTAAAACAATTTATATGTTTAAAAAGATGATTAAGTTAAAATTGTTAGGAAAGTATGATACCAAGTGAAGGATGCCTGATGTTTTTGTTTTCACTTTGGAGATTGTTCAAGCCTGAGTTAGTTATTTTATACTGTTTTAAATAAGAGGCAGATATTATAAGATTTTTTCTTCTTTCTACACTCTTTTCATTCAATGTTTTTTTTCTTTTTGATGAATTTGTTTAGTTTTTTTAGTTTTTTTTAAACGAATGAATAAAAAATGAAAGTAAAAAAATTATCATAACCTTTCCACAGAACGCCACTCCCGAATGTCCACCACGTTTTTAACTGTATAAAATTAAACATTTTCTCAAAGGTGTAAAACTGTTAAAACATGTCGTTTAAATAAAATACTCCAACACAGGTGTTTTGTCACCGTTATACTTTTTTGCCTCTTTCTGCTCCTTTCAGTTGTTGTGCGTACTAACTTTACGTTTTGGCAATCAACCTACTTCTGCCTATTTCAGCACATTTTAGCTCTATTCAGCTTTTTCTGCACAGTTCTGCTGCTTTCAGATTCTTTTTTCCTGCTTTCAGCAAACGTTAACAGATAAGGGATGAAACCTTTTCAGCAGCTTTCAGCTAAAATCATTCAGCAGTAAGCATTTCCACAGGAAATAACATTTCTCTCATTATTTACTGGTCTAGAGCTCCTTAAATGGGAAAATGGAAACGGAGCCAGAGATGTAAGTGGTGAAACAGGGCCTGGATGCAGACACCACAGCATCAACTCCAGGTCATGATGCAGCAGACAGGTGGAGGAAGTGATGCGTTGGTTCCTGATTAAATCTCCACAGGCTGTCTTTAAGTTTAACTTGAAAAATGTCAGGACTCACCGAATCCTGGATTTACTTCAGTAAAACTGTGAACCACTCATGAAGTCAATCTAAACTCACTGCTGCCACCTGCTGGTCAACAACAGCAACAAAACATCAGGAAAGAAAAACTCTTCTAGTTTTCTTCATTTTATTAAAGACAGTTGTTTATTAGGTGGTGATGAATTAGTTTGACCCTTATTGTAAAAACAGGTATAAAGACTGCATTAAATAAGCTCAGTGATAAAATGTGCCGTTCACACGTCATCCTGCTGCTGTATTAAATTAAAACCCATTGAAGAAGTCTGCTGGATCAGAACAAATCAAACCTTTCGAACAGCATTCCTTCACCAGGTCAGCATGGTTTATCTTCCTGGACACAACGGTGCTATTCAGGTTGTGTGCGGCTGTAAATATTCAAACTCTCAGGATGAAATGCTGTTAATGACGGTGGACCGACGACGGTGAGGGCGTCTACTCCCGCTCCGCTATGGCAACAAGGTGGGCTTCGATCTCAGACTCTGACAGAGTCCTGCGGGAGAAGACGAGGGGAAAAACTCATAAAAAGATGAGTCAGCACCAAACTGTGTTTGAAAGCATCAAGGTGCTTAAACTACTCAATGTAACCACAAAATTATCAAAGTTCATGTTTAACTAAAACATATACAGTACATGCAATAAAGTTGCTGCAATTATTTTTCCCAGATCAGGTAAAATAAACTAAACCATAAAAAACAAACGTTGGTACTTTGAGGCTCCACTTTAACGTTTAAGACCTGATTTCATTAATTTATAAACATTAATAACATTTTTAATCAATAAGGTTGCGACTTTCTTATATGCAGTAGCAGTCAGAAGTTTACATACAGCCATGAGTATTATATACATTTGGAGCTTTAAATGATTTATTTGCATTTGAATTGTTCCTCCAGGCTGCAACAACTACAACACACACAGCTTTAGTGATTTTTATAAACAAAATGACTCAAATTATTGTGGATTTAATTTAATCCACTCACTGGACTGACTGAGGCCGGTAGTTTCTTTGTGTCGGCATAAAAACGATTTGATGGACGAAAGTTATTTATTTAAACTGAAACCAATCTGTTACCCTAGGATGAAAAGAGATTGGTTCATATGTTCAGGAACTGCAGATCGCTGAGATTTATTTCTAGAAAAACAAATGGCTGAATGAAAGAGCAGCGATTCTGTTTCATTTATATAATGTAAACTTGTCTCTCCTCTCCAAACTGAACCACAGTCAGAGTCTGAGCAACGTTACCTGAACTTAGGTTTGTCTTTGGTGACGATGGCGATCTCCAGCTCAGTGGCTTTGAAGTCCAACGACAGGACGGAGGACAGGCAGGATATGGCCAACTGGAACAAGAGACGGGGGAGAGGTGAAGGTGCTGAAACTAAATATTATGTACCTGCCAACACTGACACAACTAGCAGAAGACGGATGTTTGAGGCCTTAGAAGCTCTTTGAAGCTGGTTCAGGTCTTACTGCATGTGAACGCACCATCTCTCAGCCAATAAAAAATGAATAAGTAAAAGGAAACACCTTGGGTGGGAAGTTCAGAATCAGAATTAGCTTTATTGTCATTGCACAGAAGCACAACAAAATTATATTTCAGTACAGCCCGTCAGAGTAAAACATAAACAACAGATGTCGATAGACGGAGATGTCTGAGGCTGCGGCATCGTGGGAGGCGCTTCCTTTTTCGTTAGATAGTAAAAGAGAAACACGAGGGAAGGATATATATATATATTATTTAAAAAATCATATCTCACATTGTGTTCTAGACAGGACACAGTGTGAAAGTTGAAAAAAAAAACCTCAGTACAGAAACAGCAACATACTGATGACATTGTAATACATATGCATGACGATGAATGTGGTGAGCTTGTCTGTGGACACTGAAAGACAGTCCTCATAGTCCTGATAAGAGATGGTGCAGTGTCTATCAGCCGGCTCAGCTCTGACACAGGTCCACAGATGTTCTCGGGGAGGGAGTGGGTAGGGGTGGAGCAGATCTTCTTGTTCACATAACATCCAGCAGAGTTTGAGATAGTTGGCCAATTCAAGGCCGACACGGGGGAGCAAGATTCACATAACAGTTATTTTGGGTCAGGCTGACTCTGCTTGATTTCTGTCTGCTTTATAGTTTTGGTACGTCTCAGTGGCGGCTCCAAACAGCCAATTTTTGGTCAGCACCGCCGGGTCAAGCTTGTAGCTTCTCCAAGGTCAATTGTTTCTTGCCAGTGAGTTTCAGGAGCCGCAAGTGGCCTGCGACTCTCAGAAATCGTGTCCAGCTTACAGCTCAGCTCACACAGCATCTGAGTCTGAGTGCTCACCGCACGGCACAATCCTTCACACAAGCCGGGCAGACTCACAATGGCCAGAACAGCTGCTGACTAGACCTGTCACCATAACAAATTTTGCTGGATGATTAATTGTCTCAGAAATTATTGCGATAAATGATAATATTGTTTGAAATTTGACATTAGTAAATACTGTCAAATTTAAGAAGAAAAATAGGTTAGTTTCTGTGTAGTACCTTTTTTGGACCACTGGATAGCAGTATGAGACTATTTGAACCAAAGGCTGGATAGTGAGGGAGCGAGCAGCGTGTCTCTTTAAGAAAAATGGGAGGGAGGCCCCTTGACATGACATGGTCTGTCTCTCTTTCCTTTTTTTGGTTCTCAAAATGGCGGCCGCTCATGTGGTTTGAGCTCTTTAGCATAACATTTTTCACACAAAACTTTGAATAAAAATATCAGTAAACAAGTTCTCAGCTTCTTTTTGCAGAGAAAAACAACTTTTTAGACGAAGGCACGGGTTTCTACAATGAATTTTGGAGCTTCGACAAGACGGAGGTTTTTTTCCCCGAGGTCGGCCTGTTAGCTTAGCTCGTAGCTTAGCTTCTCAGCTTAGCTTCTTTTAACCATCCAACAACGTGATTTTGGACGTTTAAAACAGATTTTAAAGAGAAAGAGAGGGGTCAGTGAAGAGCACCGGAGTTGAGCCTTTTGTCATCCAGTGTCTTCAGTAGAAAGAGAGAGAGAGAGACAAAGAAATGATAAAGCCGATAAATGAGGTTGATAATTTTCATTTATCATGCGATTCATTGATTTATTGTTTATCACGACAGGCCTAGGCTCAGTGTGGTACCACCAGAGAACATGTCCTTTGTTAGGACGTCCACAGAGCTGGTCATGTTGGACAGAGGAGCGGGTCCAGCTGGGTCATCCACAGCTGGACAGTCGTTGCGAGTCCCGTTTCATCAGGCTTACCTGCACGGTTCTGTCCTGGGTCAGGTCCGGCTTCTTCTTCAGTTTCTTCTCTAAGTAGCTGTTGGCCTCCGTCTGTTTGGCTCCGACCGCCGTAGCTCTGAAGCCACAGTAGTAGCCTGCCGGGTCACATTTGTAGAGAACGGGACCGTGCTGGGGGTCAATAGCCACCATGATCATACCTGGAACAGAACCAGGGTTTAGCTGCCGGACACCCTGCAGGTCTTCACAGTCAAATGATTCTGAGACAGAAAGAGGTCCAGGTCGTGATCACTCACAGCAGCCCAGAGGTCTCATCTCTGCGTTCTGCGTGTACACCTGGGAGATGTCGGCCAGCCTGCGGCACAAAACGTCTGCCGGGATGTCGTAGCCAAACTTATATTTCCATTCTCCAGCTTCCACTCGGGCCCGGTGAACCTGCGACCGGCTGTCCGCTGCTCACACCAGACAGGACGGAGCATTGAAAACACAAACGTGCACATTCTAATAGTCTGAATGTTTCTAAATCAGATCCACTTCTCTTCCAAATGTTTGTGTAACTCGTTCCACAGTTTGTGTTCCATTTCAACACTTCATGAATCAAAACGTTCAGCTCATTCAGGACATTCCTGCTGGGACTTTTTTTTTATTTTTTATATTTAGCCTTTTCAGCCATGTTTTTCTCATTTAAAATTAATGGAGCTCTCTTCACGTCTGTCAAACCCTTCGTGCTGTTTAAAACTCTTTACTGCTCACTTCAGCTATTTTTCTGTTCCCTTCAGCTTCTTTCTGCTAGTTTCAGCTTTTTATGCTCCTGTCAGCTTATTTTTGCTAAAATGTAGCGCGTTTCCAGATACATTTTAGGATTGTTCTGCTAATATTATGTTTTCTGCAATTGTTTTTATCTAATTTCTGCCTTTTGTGATTTTTTTTTAAATCATTTAAACTTTTTATACCTTTTCAGCCTCTTTCAGCTATTTTCAGCTTCTTTTTCCATTAATTTCAGATGTTTCTTTTAGGTACTTTTGTCTAATTTCAGCTTTTTTCTGCCTTTTTCAGTTACTTTTTTGCATATTTCAGATTTTGTAATCTAATGAACCTCTCTCTGCCTAATTCAGCTTATTCTGCTCATTTCAGCTACATTTTAGCTCTATTCAGCTTTTTCTACACATTTCTGCTGCTTTCAGCTTTTATTTTCCTGCATAGAGCAAATGTCAGCTGTTCAAATTCAGCTAACATTAACAGTTTCTTTTCAGCAGCTTTCAGCAAATATTCAGCAATAAGCATTCAGGCTGCATTTTCACAGGAAATGACATTTCTCCTAGCTAGCCAAACATCAGCTCATCACTGAGATTCTACTGATGCGTGAAACACACTCCACCCTGTCTGGTTTGATGTGAGGCCCTGAACGCACCATTGTGGCCGGTCATCACGCAGCCGATGCGAGGGGTCAGCTTGAACATGTTGGTCACAGTGGAGGAGTCCAGCAGCTTGTCCTGCACGCAGAAATAACAGAAAACCATCTTGCTTGGTAAAAACAGATTAAAACTGTTTAAACAAACACATTTAGAGTTTTGAACAATCAATAGATCATCCTGTGATGGGTGGAGTGAGCTCTTTAGGTTGGGATATGTCTTCAATTATCACCTGGCCCTTTGGATAAATATATATTTTTTGCTCATGTCTGTGTGCGAGTGTGTTTTTGTCTATCTGTTAGCAAAATATCTCATGAACCACTGCACAGAGTTTAATTTTAAAAACTCAAAGTCTCGGTTGATTCACTTTCGGAGTTGATCTTATTCCAAAGGGCCCCCTCTGCAAAGAGCCAACACAAAAACAGCTACAACCTCGTCACATTTCCAGATACTGAGCTGAAGTTCGGTGTGGCAGCAGCTGAGAATCATTCTCTGAGCGCTCTAACACGTTTCTCAGAATCTCACAACTTCCCATGAGCTGCAGCTTTATGTCCGTTTGAACCAAAATGGCTCTAATGAAGATCTGTACAGTGGCCCTAAGGTGTAAATGAACAACATTTGAAAAAACAGAATTACATTAAGCCAAAGCGGAAGTGGACAAAGTGGAAGTGGACAAAGTGGAAGTGGACAAAGTGGAAGTGGACAAAGTGGAAGTGGACAAAGCGGAAGTGGACAAAGTGGAAGTGGACAAAGCGGAAGTGGACAAAGCGGAAGTGGACGGAATCACATTCGAAAAAACAGAATTACATTTGAAAAAAAACAGAATTACATTTGAAAAATAAAGTTAATGAATAATAATTATAATAAATAAATAAATAATAATAAAGCTAATAAAGTTAAAAAAAAAAAAAAAAACTTCCTGTTTGGCTTAATGTAATTCCGGATTTTCAAATGTTGTTCATTTACACCTTAAGGCCACCGTAGATCTGAGTTTAAAACGCTGGCATGAAAGGCAGATAATAAACCAGTACAAAGAGTTCTGTGGTGTGGTAATGTGAGTACCACCACGCTGATGGGTGGACTGGGTTCGTATGTTTGTGTCAGGTTCCAGTTTTCTTCCAGTAAAAGCTGGAACAAGATACTAGCGTGGCTTCACTGCATGCAGCTCACCTGATCATTAGTACAACAACGTGTGTGTGTGTGTGTGCGTGATCATACCTGTACTTTCTTTTGCGTAACGACCACCACGGTGTCGGACCCCCTGATCCCGACCGACGTCAGCCCACTCTGAGCGATGGCTTTAAAGGCATATTCTGTAAGAAACCACACGAGTTCGTCTCTCAGCTTCTGCACAACTGATCTGCCTCTGACCCACAAACGTCCACAGCTTCAGGGTTTGGAGCTTGTTGGCCTTTAATCAATCGGGGCCTGGATGTTTTTAGTGAACAAACTGTGTGACACTTAGTAGAACTGGTTTGGTTTCTGGAGCCTAAGCTGAGCCCGTGCACCTGGACTGGTTTAGAAACACCAGGTGAAACAATCTTGAATGAAACCAGCGGTGCTTTAAAGAAGAATCTTGATGTGATCGAGACGTAACATTTGGGAAGTCTAAATCTAAACCTTGTGTCTCCAAGTTTTGACAGATTACTAATCTTGAAGGCAGAGCCCATGACTGTGTTTGTGTCTGTTAGCAAAATAACTGACCTTACAAAAGTCAGTTTTACAGATTGTGAGCTAACACTTGGTGTGGTAGTAGCTGAGAGTCATTTATAACACGTATGTGACTGCAAGAAATGATCAACTTTTAATTTATGCTCAAATCAACAAAACACAGGAAAATAAAGACAAATATGTGTTGTTTTATATATTTTTACCATAAACTGACATCAGCATGTTCTGTATAAATATTTTATATCTGCTGACAGTGAGTAAAAGCTGGTATTTTGTTGTGTGAATGCTTATTAAGCATTCACACTATTGTAATCCTGTTTATATTTATTATTCCACATTCTTCTTAGTACCTTAAACTATTCCTGAAGTTTTTCGGCGCAATTCTTGTCCTGCAGATTTTAGCTACTTCAACAAATCATACATCAAAATGTTCAGCTCTTTCAGGACAATCCTGCTATGATTTTTGGTATTAGTGCAACTTTAGCTTTTTTAAATATTTAGCCTTTTCTGACATTTTTTTCTCTCATAGAAAATGAACTGAGCTCATTTTACATCCTTCAAATGTTTAGATCTGTTTACAACCTTTTACTGCTCCTTTCACATTTTGTTCTGCTTCAGCTTCTTTCAGCTTGCTTGTGCAAATTTAAAAACAAATTCACTTACTTTCAGCAGTTTCAGCTGTTCTGTGCTCCTTTCAGATTCTTTCTACTAACTACATTTTTGTGTTTCTTCCAACTTATTTCTGCTAATTTCAGCTTTTTGTGCTCCTTTCAGCTTATTTCTGCACGTTTCAGGTTTTTCTACCATTTCAGCTACTATATAGCTGTTTTAATGCTAATTTTAGCCTTTTCAGCTAATTCCACATTTCTTGCACTAATTTCAACCTTTTATCTCCTTTTACCGAGATGTTATAGATACTGATGGTTGTAGACAGGAAGGATCTCTTGTAAAGGTCCATCCCACAGTGGATCCTAAGAAACTGGCTGCAGATGCAGTCCGATCCGTCCACCCAGACTCGGCTGACCTCTCGGTCCCCTCGGGCTGTAGGACCACCTGAATGCCGAGCAGAACTCCTCCCAGAGCGATGGCCACTCCTCCCAGCAGTCTGCCGAGCTCCTCGTCACTGTGAACAGCCAGCCGTAGGTGCCGAGGGACGATCCTGTCCTTCTGCTGTCATGAGCCATGTTTCCTGCTCGTTCCAGGATCTAAGTGGTCAGGCACTCAAGCACAGCTGGCAGGTAGATGAGAATGCATCCACAGAACATCCTTTTCAACTCATTTGAGATTTGGGGCTGTAGTTGAGATATTATTTGAGCTTTTGAGATGTTAATCAGCTGTTGGTTGTAGAAAACTGCCTTGTTGCCATGGTTACGCATCATAACAAATGTCCAAAACTAAAAAAGTTTCAGTAAAAATCCTTCCAGCTGCACAACATCCGATACCAGAGGAAACCATCATCCAAAAAATGTGATTTACATCCAGAAAAAGAGGAATTAAAGTTTCCAAAAGCAAAATGTCAGAATGAAAGTAACAGAGCTGCTCCAACATGCAGCCACCTGGAGCGGCACAATTCTAGAACTTCACCTTTTGTGCTCATTTCTGCTTCTTGCAGCCTAATTAAGCAAACATGTTCATTCTGCTGCTAATTTAAGCATGTTCTATGTTTTCAGCTACCTTTTGAGCATATTTAGTTAATTTCAGCTGTTTTCAGATAAATTCAAGTTTCTTTTGGTAAATTCTGATACTTTCAGTCTATCCAACATTTTTCAGTCAGGTCATCTGGACAGTTAATTTTTTTGTGTTGAAACATTTAGTTTCAACACAAAAAAAAAAGAATGTGTCCAGATGACCTGACTGAAAAATGTTGGATTGTATACCTGAATTATTGAGTATGGACTTTGTTGTTTTGAACCAGTTTGACATGATTGTTGACGAGGAAGACGGCCGGCACCGGAGGAGGGGGTGTGCCAAAGACACCATCTTAGCACCAACATAACTGGTTTGTTCCAGTTTGGAGTAAGCTGTTTGGGGGAAGAATCAGTTTTGTTGTGTGTTTCCTTGACTGATGAAGCCTTCTGGATCGAAGGTGAAATGTTTCAGCACAAAAAAAAAATAAAGTGTCCAGATGACCTGACTGAAAAATGTTGGATTGTATACCTGGATTATTGAGCATGGACTTTGCTACTTTCCGCCTAATTAACTAATTTCTGCTAATTTCAATTTATACTCTTTTCAGATTTTTTTAAAACTATTTTCAACCTTTTATTTTTGCTATATCAGTTACTCTTTACTTGTTTTATGCAAATGTGAGCTTTTTCAGCTAATTCCACATTTTTAGCTCATTTTAGCTCTTTCCACTTCCGTCTGATAATTTAAGCTTCTTTCTGCATTTTCAGCTGATTTTCACATTCTTGTGCTAATTTCTGCTTATTTAAACCCAGTTCAGCAAATATGTGTTATTTCTGCATTTTTCTGCTAATTTAGGCTTGTTCTTTCATTTCAGCTATATTTCAGCATGTTTTTAGCTAATTTCAGCTGTTTTTCAGCAAGTTCTTCTACAATAATTCACACTGCATTTTCGCAGGACATGCAGTTTGTCCAGATAAAGAACAGCTTTGACAGGAAATATATTTGGATTGATGAGTCCATCAGTGTTAGTATAAAAATGTGTGCCTAAATCTGCCAGAGTAAAGTATGGAAGCCCATTTCCGCCATGAAAGAAAAAATAAAAGCCCAACAGGAAGTCATAATTTCAACTTTTAAAGTCCTAATTATGAGAATAAGTTATAATTATGCATTTTAAAGTCATAATTATTACTTTTATTCTCGTAAATATGACTTTAAAACTCTATTATGACTTCCTGTTGGGCTTTTATTTCATAGCGGAAATGGGCTTCTATTATAAACGCTATATAAAGTGGCGATGAAAAGGTGTACACATTCCATACCTTATTTAAAAGGATTGATGTATGAAGGCAGAGGGACATACATTGAATGAATGAATCCATGTGCTATGTCACAGATATCATATAAACACTTTTATATGTTTTATATGATATCTTTGTGCTACGCAGGAAAACTACCGGTGTCTGACAGGAAGTCGCATCCCTGTACAGTCATGGTGTCCAGCAAGGACAAACTTAAAAAATTAAATTAGAAAAGTCAAAATTATGACTTTAAAACTCGTAATTATGACTTTAAAACTCGAAATTATGACTTTTATTCTCGTAATTATGACTTTAAAACTCAAAATTATGACTTTTATTCTCGTAATTATGACTTTAAAACGCAAAATTATGACTACCTGTTGGGCATTATTTTTTCTTTCATGACGGAAATGGGCTTCCATACAGACTTTAGAGAGGTTCTAAAAACTTAAATTAACTTTATTCCCACTGGGAATAACTTAAGACCAACAAAAACAAACTTTAACTTCCATTTTAATGAGAATAAATAAAAAGTTTTAAACGTCGATGCAAACTTTATGATTTTTGTGATATTTATTGGTTTAGAGAGAAGTGTCTGCAGTAAAGAGGTGTCCCTGTGCACACAGCAGACATGTTGCTGAGTTTTATTAAAATTCCTCACCCACTTGGTAGAGGCGGCCCTCCGGGGAGAAGATGGTGATGTGTCGGTCGAAGCCTGCGTTGGAGCCGCGGGACATGTTCCTCCGGACCTTGTCCTTTGGATGTTAGACTTTAATGGATCTAAGTGAAGGTTTCAGAGTCAGTAGGCGGTAAACTGCATGTGTGAGTGTCAGGACAAATGGAGACGTCTCTCTGCTGCTGCCTGCTTCTTTTACTTTACTTTCTCTTTCGCTTAAACTTCAGGAGCAACAAGGAAATCAGGCAGCCGGCACCGTCTATCACCTGGAGAGGACACATTAATGTCCTCTCTGCAGAGACACTCCTCTGACTCTCTCTCAGCACGGATCATTTAATACTTAACTCAATTAAACATTATTATTATTGTTATACTTTATTTATTTACAATAACCGCTTCCAATGTGTAGGAAAAACTGAAAAGTATGGAACTCCGTTCATGCCAAAAACTTCTGACGCTTTCACACTGGTGATGGACGGAAAACTATTTATACTTATAGTTGGGTAGTAATTTAATTTAGGAAACATTTACAAATAAGGAACAGAGTTGTGCAGTTTTTTATTGCAATATAACCACCCATAAATTACAACATCGTGTCCCGTTTATGTGTTTTTACATCAAAACAAAGTAACGTTTTGTAAGAGGGGAAAAAGAACACTCGAATTAAAAAATGCTGTTTTTCTGCAAATGTGAATAAATTACAAAATAAATTAACATACATAAAATCACAAATAATTCAGTGGTTTTAGTATTATTTGCATATTATTCCCTCTTCAAAATACATTTAATAATATAGGCTACCACAGTGGTTCCTAAAATTATAGAGGTCAACTGATTCAGGCGTTCTATAGAAAATACTGATTTTAAAAATCAGGACCATCACTAGTCCTCTCCAATGGGCCAACTCTGTTTTTGAGTTCATACCATATATTAATGTAATTTTAAAAATTGCTTACATACATAAAGGTTACTTTAATGACAGCTGTGGGAGAAGCTTGCTCCTGCAGCTGATCAGCTGTTGTGCTCTTTTGCGTTTAGTGTTAGAAACATTGTTTTATGTATATGTATATACACTAAAATAAACTTGCACTACTATTCCTACTTGCAGCTGTTCACTTATCGTGAGGCTTCAGGGTATGGATCAGGGTATGATAAACGAGGGACTGCTGTATTTGTATTCCCTGGTCACTTCAAGTCCAGAATAGCTCATCTCAAAACAAACGTTCGTTATTCAAGTCCTTCAGTGAGGGGGGGACAGCAGCGCACCACTTGTTCAACAGTCAGTGTCAGTAATTTACTCTGAGCCAGAAACAGGTTGGTTAGAGACACCGTTTATTGATTGACAGGTAGCATTGAAGGGGATACAGCAGGCACAAAATACACTGATTGACCGATAATATTGCAAATCATGTTCTTATTCCTACCTGTTAGTTAAATATCCTCTATACCCCCACTCACCCTTTTCATAAACGAGACATTTTTACATCTTTCCTGCTGGTTGGTAAGTTCCATTTAGTGGAAATATTTTGTACTTTAAAAAAAAGAAGGAAAGTACAGTACATTCATTTCTCGTTTATTCTCAAATGGACACATTCCTCTTTGGAATCTACTACAATAAGCTCCTGTGTGAGATTACTAATCTGATCAGCTTTTCAAAACAGAAGTGTACTGCAAATCTCAGCTCTGTACCTAAACAAGGGATTTTCTATATGAATATTTAACTATGCACTTTGATTATATATTAGAATACATAAAATCACTTGGCTGTTTATTGCATTCACATGTGCTCCAAGATATTTGTTATTGCAGCAACTGGGCCTTCCTCTGTTAATAAGTGCATGTCGCAGTGTCCTCCAGGGGGCGATGTTGCATCATAATCTCTGACCGAGTTCAGAGGTCAGACCATGCAATAATCAGATAAATGAGTTAAGAATAAAATACAAGACCTGCACCCCAGACTCTATATGCACGTTAGCAAGTTAAAGGTCAAAGGTCACGTCAGGACTGAATAAAGACTGAACGGGTCATAAATAAACACAAAACGTCTGGAACGTTTGAGATCAAAGTGTTTACCCATAATGCACCGCTACATGTTTTTCTTTTGGCTGCTCCCTTCTTCAGGGGTCACCACAGCGAACTAACTCACATGGAGACTTGGCGATAGTTTTTACGCTGGATGTCCTTCCTGACAACCAGACCAGAGCTGCCACAGCCCTCTGTGTGGAGCAGACAGCTGACATCTAGGGCCCCCAGGGGAGCAGATGGTGGGGGTTAAGGGCCTTGCTCAAGGGCCCAGTGAGGCAAATGAGGATAGAGGCTGGTGTCCCACCCACACCATGATGCTGTTGGTCCGGGAAGTTGAACCAGCAACCCTCCGATCACAGACAGCCTCTCTAACCTCGCCCTCACTCCCCCCCACAATGCACCGCTGCATGTTTGAGGAAAACCAACCAACATGTCAGCACAAACACGTCCTCCCAGCTGTCAGCACCCATGATCTGGGCTCCGTGCGGTCCTTGAGTTGACCATGAACTCCTCTGTAGACAGCTGGAGGTTGAGGTTGGGCCAAACCGGGTCAACAGAACCTTGATTCCTCATCACAGCAGCTAATGTACTGGGAAAAGATCAGATTAAACATTTTGTGACGATCCAGTCAAAGACACAGCCTAACAGAAATGTTCTGATGGGACTTTGAGAGCTGAGCAGTCCTCAACGAACGGAAGCAACGTTGTAAAGAAGAGTGGCCCAAAATCCTCCACATCCACGACTGACAGTCAGAACATGACCACAGAGAGTTCCTGCTGCTGAAGAGGTCCTACAAGCTGTAGGACTTAGTTTTCCACTGTCAGTGTTTCTATTTTGGGTTTGTTTTGGTTTAATTACCATATTTTTTGCCGTATAAGTCGCACCTTTTTGCATAAATCTGCAAGTCCTGCGACTTATACACCGAAGTGACTAACACACATTTTCCCCCCCGTATTTTCATTGATAAACCAATTTTTGGCTGAAATCTGACGATTTCATTCATTCTGACATGGAAAATATTTAACACTACCATTTTCAGCCACTAGAGGGTGCTCCACCAATATGGCAAGTTAAGTGTGTCATTAATAGATAAAAGTGGCTATTAATGACACACTTGGCCTGCCATAGGACCACCCTCATCTCGCTCCGGAACTAAAGGAGCAAACGTCAAATCAGCTGCATTTTGCCGCCCAGGCGAAATGCAGCTGATTTGATTGTTAAAGGAAACGTTCAACTGAGGCACTCCTTTGCTATAATTTCGAGCAAGCAAATAATTGTTTTTTAAGTGCTAATCTTGTTAAATTCTTGTTAAAGTCCTCCTGTGCACGCTCCTGTGGCTGTCATTTGGTAGCCAATCGATTTTTGGCACAACACCGACCCACATTTCAGGGTTATCAGCAGTGATGCCTAATAGATGCGACTTGTACGGCGAAGCGACGCATTTATGTTTTTTCCACTTTATTAGACATATTTGGACTGATGCGACTTGTACGGCAGCAAGTACGGTCATAAATAAATGGTGTAGTCTGTTGTTGCGCACTTGTTGGACATTTGAACAACTGCAGAACCTGATAAAGACCAGAACATGTCCTGATCCATTAAATCTGAGACCTGAAAGACGGTGGACTCCTCTTTCCCATGACTGCAGTGAATAATCGTCGTGTCGCCGTTACTCCAAGACAACAAATGGCTTTAGTGTCCCTCCTCCCTTCTTCGGCTCCTTCTCCTTGGCTTGTTGAGTGCAAAGCTGGCTAAGAACCTGAAGTGACACTTTTAGACCTTGTAAGCTCTAAGAACATCCCATTCTGCCGTCACACGACCAACTGCGCCGAGGACGGACCCGACACCCGGAGTGCCAACTCATAAAGAACTCCCTGCGCTGCGTTTGGCTCGTGTCACTTCGGTTCTTCTCAAACAGTCGAGTTTTTAACAGTGCAAGAGCCAAATTAAACAATCCGTGCTGCAACTGGACCAAAGAAACGAAGAGGAAATAACGACTCGCTTCAGGGTATAAACTCAAACGTTAACAGTCACATAGTTATTAAGTTATTATTGCACAAAATATCTACACATTTCTCCGCATCAATACGCTGATTACTAGTATTCTGCAGTAAAAATGAACGTCTGAATAAAAGTGCACGAGCTTGTGAAAGTGCAACGGAAGTGAAAGCACCCTGTCTACTTGACAAACATTTACTCCGACAGGGAAACCAACGATGGACATAAGCTTCAAGATATCCGAACAACGGGGCCTCCTCTTCCGTTTCCTCAAAAACACCCCCCAACTGGAGACAATGGGACGGTTTGTTGGCGAGACCATTTAAAACGTGGACATGAAACAACCCAACCGTTTCTACTGACAACCATTGAATTCACGTCTAAAGACATTTCTCTGAGCGCTGCAACGATTGAGAAGGCCGTAACATGGAACGAGACTTTAATGTGTCCGAAACAAAGAAAAACGGGGGGGTCCAGCCTACTCCGTTGGGGAGGGGGTGCCTTTTATCCTCTGCGAAGCTCCCTCAGCTCTGCAGCGACTTTACGCAACTCGGCTTCAATCTCCAAGAGCTCCTGTTGGGAGAAAGAGGACAGAATGAACACACGTGCACGTTTGAGGCCTTCAACGTTTACGAGATCTTAGAGGCACTGAGTGGGACTGTGTGGGAGCAAAAGGCTAAATCCATTTGGTGTGTGTCTAAAAATGTTAGAAGTAATTTGAGAGAATGCTTGGGCTTCATGATGGTTGGTGCCAGGTAATGGTGGGACGACATGAAGACAGAAGACCCAACATTTCTTCATGTTTACTTCCCTTTATTGTAGTTATGGTGGCTCCAATGCAACTTTTAGATCATTTAATTCAATTATGTTTTACAGGAGCTCTTAATCTCTTAGTGCGCACACACACACACACACACACACACACACACACACACACACAATTGCTGTGGTAAATGTAACTTAAGCCCTATTCGCATGGGATTAGTTTGACCTCGGGACCACATGTAATCAAGAAATTACTCAACGTCTGCTTTTTATGTGGTGCATTTTCACGAGATAACCAAAGCCTGAGATGCTGAAATTTCCGGACATCTTCCGGACATGATGTTAACGCGCTGTGTTGTCACGACCAGGCCGGTCTCAGGCTTTGATGTGGTTTTACAAATCATACAGCACAAAGAAAACTAAAGAATTCACAATATAAAATTGTGTTAATCTGCTTGTTGAGGAGAAGGCAGGTTCGACCGGATGGTTTAAGAGGTTAAAAAAAGTTTTGTTAAGCTTAGACGGACAATCTGTCACCGGCCGTACACGTTGAAATGGACTTGCGACCTGTCCAGGGTGTACCCCACCTCTCGCCCAGCGAGTGCTGGACATGTGCACCAGCGACTCCCACTACCCGAAAAGGAAGAAGCGGGTAAATAAAATGGATGGATGGATGGATGGATCAGCTGATCACCAGCTGCGCGCGTCTCCGCACCTGCTGTCATCTGCGGTGAAGGAAGCAGCAGCATAAAAGCCAAAGCGAGCAGCGCGTTCATTTAAAATAGTCTTGTTCTATATTTTTCCAGATGATTTTGCTTAAACAAAAACAAAAAAACGCCTCATTACGTATCGGATCCGGCGCATTTCTGTCCAAATCACAGGGATGCCTGTTTGCATTGGATTAGTTTTATCACAGGACCAGGAGCTCAGAAAAATATAGTAGGTAATGTGCGGGGGGAATTTTCACTTTACAAATTACTGACATGGCCGACTTGCACGGGATTAACAACACAGACAATCTCTGTAATTATTACAAATAGCATGTGGTCCCTAGGTAGAACTATTCCTATGCGAACAGGGCTCAAGTTGAATGAACAAGAAAATTCCCAAAACAATCAGTCTGTGGCTGAAATAGTGTAGAGGTAGGGCAGCTGACTTGGGACCAGAAAGTCGCAGGATCAGTTCCCTGTCATGCCCACATGACGTGGTGTCCGTGAGCAAGTGCTCTCCGGACGTTCCCATAGCTGCCCACTGCTCCACCTGGGTGCATCTCTCTGTAAGTGTTTAGGGTGTTCTTAGTTCATATCTTAGATAGTATTACCGTTTTTCTTTACAATTTATACTTTTGTTGGATGTAACTGGGACCCTGTGTACACAGTTTCGTTCCACCACATGCACCACATGTGATGAGAATGACAATAAAGAATCCTTGACCTTGATCTAACGTGTGATTGTTTTAAATGCAGAGAACTAATTTCATCATTGTATGACGACACACAGCACTTTCTTAAACCTGTTGGAACGAGAGTACTGCAAACACAACGTTATACGCCCGTCGACAAACTTCTCTATAGCAAGGGTCCGGATGAGCAAAGACCTCGTTTTAACTTTGACCTTGATTTGTGACCTTGACCTTAGAGGTCGGGTGATGAAAAGTGTATGCAACACTTGATCTGGTATCAAGATTTATTCAATTATCTTGAGTGGATCAGAAATTACGGCCCGGCCAAGAGAAAGTTTATCGATATACGGACAGACAGAGACTATACCATAATACGCTGCCTTTGACGGACGTTCAATAATAATAACAATAATAATAATAATAATAATAATTTTAAAACTCTGAGGTGATGTATCGAGACAATGGCTGCAATAATAAAACAGTCTGGAGGTTTAAACCCAGCCAGGCCAACAGGAAGTGGACGATGTAGCTGTGTTGTGTCTCATTGTTGATAACCTGTTTATTACAGGATTGTTTACTCTAAACATTTACCCAAAACAAAAACAAGTCGTAAAACTCCAAACGTTTGACAAAGTGTTCACTTTATAATATAATCACGTGTGTTGTAGTTATTCCTCAGTCTGAATGTTTATTTGTCGCAACTTCTCCGTGTGAAGTCATTTAGTTTGAGCCGACTCACCTCTCCATCTTCAGCGTCTCCTTCATCCTCATCATCCTCAGGGTCCTCCTCATCTTCTCGAACATATTCGTCTTCATCCTCCCTGTTCTCCTCCTCCTCCTCTTCCTTGTACCTCTCTCGTTCAAATTGTCGCGTGGCCTCATCACTGGCTTTCTCCATCACTCTCTTCTGCTGCGGCTCCTTCACCTCCGACGCTTTGTTCGTCTTCTGAACCTCCTTCTCTGTTTCCTCCTTCTCTTCGGTCATGTTGTCCTCTTTCTTCTCAACCTGCTCCTCCTCCTCCTGTGCACGTTTCATCTTTCTGGCGAGTTCATCCAGCTCCTCCTGCTTCTCCTTCCTCTCCTTCTCCTTTGGCTGGCTCCTGTTGTCCTGCTCCCTGAGCAGCTCCTTCAGCTCCTTCTCCACCTTCTCCTTCTCCACCATCAGCTCCACCCCGTTCTTCCTCCTCTGCTCCTCCAAGTCCTCAGGTGCGTCTCTTTTGTCCTGCTTCACCTTCTTGTCCTCCACATTCTCCTTCAGCTCCGTTTCTTCGGGGTTCTCCTCCTCAGCCTTCTGTTGCTTCAGTTTCAGCTCCTCGCTGTGTTTCTCTCCTTCACCGTTCTTGGTGAGCTCCGCTCCGAGGAGATCCTTTAGCTCCTTTTCTCGTTTCTCTTGGTCATCCATCTCTTCAGTCTGCAGCTTCATCTTCCTCTTGGTTTCATCCTCCTCCGTCTTCCTTCCAGTGTCGCTGTCCTCCTCCTCGTTCTTCTCCTCCAAGTCGCCCTCATCATCGGTCAGATTGTACTCGTCCCTCTCCCCCTCTTTTCTCTGCTCCTTCTCTCTCTCTGCAAACAGTAGGACATGGACAGTCAACATCAGCTCAGAGGCAGGACATTTGTTTACCTTGTAAACAACAAGAAGACAAACAATTAAACTAATTTATTGGCTTCAGTCAGGCCTATTATTAAATTATTGGGTTTTATTACAAACAAACTAAATAATGTTTAGAATTTCATAAAAATAAAAACTTGTGGTTTTAGATTTTGGAACTATTTGAATGTGGGACGAGGTAGAAATGATCTCAGTCCAGACTTTATTCAGAACAAGAAATGTTTCATCAAAGATACAGAAATGTTCAAAAAGCACACCCTACAAGTACGCACTTATTCAAACAAAAACACCCTTTAATTCAAATATTACAATTAACTCCTTTGAATGAAAAGTCTTCATCCTTTGGATGAAGACTTTTCATCCAGAGTAATATTTTAAAACAGCACATGCTGATAAAACAAGCAGTACACCAATGTCCCCGTCGCTGAAGAGAGTGTTGATAGTTTTCTAGATGAGTGGGTTTTTTTGGGACTCAAACTTAGTTTTTGGTGCAAGATATGGTGCAGCCAGGGGCTGTGGTAGCTTGGTGGTCAGTGCCGTGGTCTTGCAATCCTGAGGATGGGGGTTCAAACCCAGGTTGTGTCAGGAAGAGCATCTGGGGTAAAACAAATTCCCAAATCTTTCGTGAGTGTTCGCTCGCTGTGAAGGGAGCAGCTGAAAGAAACTTACCTTCTATATTCAGTGGTGGAGCCAGGGGGTGGCCAACAGTGGCGTGGCCCCGATAGATTATCCTTCAGCCACCCCAATCGTTTAAGGAAACTATACTTTTAAGAAATATAAAAACTAGGAAATAGTTTCCTTAAATGACTGGGGCGGTCGGTTTACATACTCTGAACAAAAATACACTGCCTGACCAAAAAAAGTCGCCACCTGGATTTAACTAAGCAAATAGGTACGAGCCTCCTATTGGATAATTACTGCATGGGTGATTATCTTTCAGCTGGCAACAAGTTATTTAACACTACTGGTGCAATGAGTTGCTTCTCTTCCTTAAACAACCATGTTTAAGTTTTCCACGACCACACATCACGTGGTCGTGGAAAAGATGTCAGTCTGTTTGAGAAGGGTCAAATCATTGGCATGCATCAAGCAGAGAAAACATCTAAGGAGATTGTAGAAACTACTAAAATTGGGTTAAGAACTGTCCAACGTATTATTAAAAACTGGAAGGAAAGTGAGGACCCATCGTCTTTGAGGACGAGATGTGGCCGAAAAAAAATCCTGAATGATGGTGATCAGTGATCACTTAAACGTTTGGTGAAATCAAATGGAAGAAAAACAACAGTAGCACTCAGGGCCATGTTTAATAGTGATAGTAAGAACATTTCCACACACACAATGTGAAGGGAACTCAAGGGACTGGGACTGAACAGTGTGTAGCCTTAAGAAAACCACTAATCAATGAGGCTAACTGGGAAAAAAGGCTTCAATTTGCTAGGGAGCATAAAGATTGGACTCTGGAGCAATGGAAGGTCATGTGGTCTGATGAGTCCAGATTTATCCAGATTTATTTTGTCCCAGAGTGATGGGTGCATCAGGGTAAGAAGAGAGGCAGGTGAAGTGATGCACCCATCATGCCTAGTGCCTAGTCATCAATGCAAGATCTTGGTGAAAAATTAATGCAACACTGGATGGAAATAGATCTTGTGACATTGCAGAAGTTTATTGAAACAACGCCACACAGAATGCATGATGTAATCAAAGCTAAAGGAGGTCCAACAAAATATTAGTGTGACCTTTGTTTTGGTGGCAACTTTTTTTTTGGGCGAGGCAGTGTATAAACTAAACACTTTTGTTTTAGCTCCCATTTCTCATGAGCTGAACTCAAAGATCTAAGATGTTTTCTATGTACACAATAGGCCTTTTTCTCTCAAATATTGTTCACAAATTTGTGTACATCGGGGCGACTGTGGCTGAGTGGTTATAGTGGTCTTCCTCCAATGCGAGAGTTGGGGGTTCGATTCCACCAGCAGTCACATGCCCAAGTGTCCATGGGCAAAACAATGAACTCCTCATAGCCTCTGATGTGTGTCCCATCGGTGTATGAATGTGATAAAGCTCCGATTAGTCTTTGTAGAGATCTAGTAGAGTGCTGTATGAATGTGTAAATGAGGACACAGATTGTAAAGAGCTATCTTGATAAGACAGAAAGGAGCTGTATGAGAACAGTTCATTTACCATTTAGATCTGAATTAGTTAGCACCTCTCCTTTTCTGAGATAATCCATCCACCTCACAGATGAGGCATAGAAGATGCTGCTTAGACAGCATGATTATTGCACAGGTGTGCCTTAGGCTGACCACAATAAAGGACCACTTTAGTTACTTTAGTTACATAATGGGAACTAATGTCATTGTTCAGTGTAACCACCATGTTTTGCTGTTTGTGACCAATTCATTCAATCTTAAGTTCCTTTGGCCTCCAGATCACATGCGAGGCATTCCCAACATTTCAAAAGATCAAATCTATTTTTGTTCCAAATGACTTGATCGTTCCAACGTCCACTTCTGCCGTCACTGCTCATCAGAGACCGTTAAAACATCTGACTGATGCATTACTGCCACCAAGTGGTGGGAAGCTGTGTTGAAAGCTTCATTAAAACCCGTTCAGTGGTTCACGAGATGCGCTGACAAACAGGCAAGTGCACAAAGAAACGGGCAAAAACACTATCACCCGCCATTCATGCTAGAAAACGTGAGCAGGGCTACGTTTTGTAGCAAAGTGTTCGAGAACGAATAAACGGAGCGATTCAGTGTGAGACGGCGCTACGTACCATCATCAGCCAGACTCTGCAGCTCTCTGAGAAGACCCTGATGTCTCTGCACTTCATCAAGTTCCTCTGTCAGAAAAATATGACACAAAAAACTAAACGTTTAGCACAATAAAAACAAGCCTCTTCACAGAATACCAGCAAAGGACCTCTGTGTGTGCAGAGGGTTTTGACTGGTGTGTGTGGTATAATTCATTATTACTGAAGGACACCAGTTAGACCCTGCAGATTAAATGAACTAAAGAAGATATATCAAATTCAGTAAACTTGTCTGTTTGAATGTTTTAATGTACGTGAATGTTTCTGTTCAGTGCCATGAGACTTTTGCTGTTGTGACTTGGAATTATATAATTAAACTAAATTGAATGTGTTTAAGGCCTGTTTTGCATGAAATATTAAATATACTTAAATTAGATTACGCAAGATGTTTAGAGAAACAAATCAGTTTTTGATAGAAGTGTTAGTAGTTCACACTAAGACACCAGAAGATGTAGTTTGTATATTCTAACCAAATGTTGGTGAACAAATGTAAAGAACGCCACCAGTTTCAAACAAGTTGGGATGTTGTGTAAAATGTAAATAAGAATAGAATGCAATGACATACAAGTCACGTAAATCCCTATTCTATTCACAGTAGAAGATAAATACATCAGGTGTTTGAACGAAGAAACTGATCCATTTCCTTAAAGAAAAATTAGGGAATTTTGAAGTTGATGTCAGCAAAACATCTAAAAAATTATTGGACAGGAGCAACAAAAGGCGGTAAAGCTAAGTGATATAAAAAAAAGAAGCAGCTGGAGGAGCATTTAGCATCTGATTAGGTTAATTAGCAACAGAAGTAAAGATGGGCAGAGGTTTACCATGCAGTGAAAACTGCATCTAAAAACAGTGGAACAATTTCAGAATGTTACACACAGAAACATTGGAAACACTGAGAATATCCCATCATCTGCAGTTCATAATATCATCCATCCATTAACTTTATCTATTTCTTCCATTTTGGGTCACGGGGTTCGCCGGTGCCCATGTCCAGCAATCACTGTGCGAGGGGCGGGGGACACCCTGAACAGTTCTCCAGTCCATCACAGGGACACATAGAGACAAACAACCATTCACTCTCTCATTCACACCTAGGGACAATTTAGAGTTACCAATCAGCCTAACATGCATGTTTTTGGTCTGTGGGAGGAAACTGGAGAAAACCCACGCATGCACGGCGAGAACATACAAACTCCACCCAGAAAGGCCCCCGGACCAGGATTTGAACTGGGGACCTGCTCGCTGAGAGGCAGCAGCTCTACCAGTTGCGCCACCGTGCTGCTAGTTCATAATATGATCCAACGATTTCAAAGATCTGGAGAAATCTCTGAGCTCAGAAGACTGAAAGTCAACACTGAATGCTGATCTTATAAATGCGAACACCTAAAACAGGGGTGCCCAGTACGTTGATTGCGATCTGCCAGTCGATCACAAGTAATGAGTAGATCGCATGGCATTAAAAAAATAAAACATCAGCCTATCATCCATCCTCACAATGAAATTTGTCACTTGATTGACATACAGGGTAGCCAATCTGAGACCAGACCTGTTCTGACATGGGTCACCACGCTAGGGGTAAGCGATACGACTCAAATATTATATTATGATATTTCAGAGCATTCTGACAATTACGATAAATTTCATGGTAACAAAAAAAACCCAGAAATCAGTTATTCATTTGACAAAATTAACTTAACATGTTACTTTGCAGTTTTATATAAAAACACACACAAAAAAAACAAGCGTTAATCTTACTGAAACTACTTTATTTAGTAAAGTATTCAGTTTAGAGCGAGTGGAAACAGCTGAGCTGCGCGGTGTTTGTTTTTAGCTAGCTGGTATTGCGCGCAGCTAATCAGAGTTACACCAGTACAGACTGGTGGGGGGGTGCGCAGTTCGGCGTTGTTGCGCTCGGTTCTGTTAAAGGGGTGGGGCGCCCCGCTTGTATAATGGTAGGGGAAACACTGACGCATTACGTTATGAAATTAGCATATCATGATATCATTTATTTTCCCGGGCAAGTTTTTTTAGCGGTGTCATCATGAACAATATGATATGGCTCAGCCCTACACCACGCATGCGCATACAACCACACCAAAAACCAGCAAGCTGCTGAGTTGCCTAGTTAGCCTCCAATTTAGCATTTTTAACTGATCTGACCAACATGTTGAATGACCTTAACGTAGCGCTGCAAGGAAAGGACAAACCTGTGATCTATACCATCAGCTCAGTGCAACATCTCTCCTCAAAGCTGCAGCGCCGCAATGTGGCAAACTTACAAGAACCTCGCGTCAGAGCTGGAGACGCAAAAGAAGTCGCGTGTGCAACTTGACAGTGCACGCTACACTGAGCAGAACGGTGTCAGAGTTTGACAAACGCTTTCCAGACGTGTTTTACTGGAGCCAGTCGCTACATTCATGTGCTACCCTTTTCAGGAAGATGCTGAGGTTGCTTGACTGGCATCACAGATTGAAACTCTGCTTCACCTACACTTTTCTGGAGTGGACGATGAGATTTTGACACTACAAGCTGACATTCAGCTCAAGTCCAGGGCTCATGGATATTTCTGGAATTTACTCACTGAGGACAAGTACCCCAACATGAGGAATCGTGTTACCTCATTGACTGCATTATTTGGCTCCATGTGGTCAGCCTTTTCCCACATGAAGATTATTAAATCCAAATACCGTTCCACCATGACTGATGATCATCTGGAAGTGTGACTGAGGCTGGATATGAGCAGCTACTGTCTGGACTGTGCATCCCTGGCTGATTCCATTCAGTGCAAGTCATCAGAGTAAGGTAATGACAAACAATGTACAGAGTTGTACTGCTCAATATAGGTTCATGGCATGCAGTTATGCAAGGTACAACATATATTGTACAAATAAAGAATGCTTAATATTTTTATAAATAAGTATATGTTTTGTATTTTTATGGTATAGATCACTTTGACTTGGTCATTTTATAAGTGACTGAAAAAGTGTGGGCACCCCTGATCTAGAGGCACCGCCATCTTCTCTGGACCAAAGCTCATTTCAGTTAAAGTAGAAAACTGTTCTGCAGTCAGATAAAACAAACTTTAATGTTTGTTTTTTTTTAACCAACCATCATGTCCTCTGTACTAACAGGGAGAATAGGAGACCATCCAGCCTGTTATCAGTGTACAGTTCAAACCTCTGTCTCTCTGTTGGTATAGTGGTACATTAGTCCATCTGGTATGGACAGCTTGCACAACTGGAAAGTCATCAGCCTTGCAGAAAACTACTGTATATGCAGGTTTTAGAACATAATGTACACCTTTTTCAGAGAGGGCCTTGCATATTTCAGCAAGACAATGCTAAACTACATACTATATCCATTACAGCAGCATGGCTTCATAGTAGGACTGGGCGATATGACCAAAATTAACATCTCAATATTTTTAAGATAAATCATGATATACGATATATATCTCGATATTCAAACATCTGCTAAGTAAGCTGCAGCTTACAAGCGCTGTTTTAAATGGTGAAAAAGATTTGTAGTTCTGACATTTTGTCGGGACTTGTTTTTGGCATTGTCTACAGAAAACATTTTTCTGCTGCTCATCTGACAATATAAATCCAAACCATCTCTGAAATAGCAGCCATTGGTTTCTTTTCGCTCAGCAGCTAAGCTGATCTTCATATCTCCTGTGTTAACTTGTTGTGTTAACTCCCCACAACCAGAGAGGGAGGAGGGGGGCTGTTCGATGGTTGCGAAAGAGCCATTTTCACCATCGTAAATTGAGAAAAAATCATGATACATCGAGTATATTGGATACATCGCCCAGCCCTCATAGTAGAGGAGGCCAGGTGCTGAACCAACCCAGCCTGCCTACAGTACAGATTTCTCACCAACTGAGTACAGTTGAATCCTGATACAAGAAAATCCAGCAGGACTGCTGAGCAACCATCATCTTACAGCAAACATAAATGTGACATTTCCCTCCAAAAACTGCAAAAGAGGCTTCAGGTTTGTAAACATAATTATGTTCCAACTATTTTGAGACATATTTCTGCCATAAAGTTCAAAATTCTTACTTTAAAAAAAAAGCATAATTTCTCAATTTAAACATTTGAGAAATGTTTAAATTGAGAAATTTATTTTGCTCCACTGAATAAAACGAGTTTATGAGATTTACAAATCATTGCATTCTGTTTTATTTTACACAGCATCCCATCTTTTATGGAATAAGGGATGCAGATAAAAGTAAAACAATATGAAAATACTCAAATTAAAAACGTTTAAAAAAGGTCAAAACATGTACCTGCTAGCCGTGATCCACATTCATGGTGGGACCCATCTTCATTCAGGGTCTCCTGAATGATACATTCAACCTGGTTTTACAGTCCAAAGGAGAAGAAGCACACATTTAATGATTAAATAATTACAAAGTTAAATCACAGTGGAAACAAAAAGGACTTGTTTCTGACCTTGGCATCATTAAGTGGTGAGGTTACTGGCCGGCTTCCCACTTGAAAAAAAACAAGTTGGGACAAAATGGCAACGTTAACTTGAAGTATATTTAGTATTTATGCAACAAGAGAAGATCTACCAATCCCCCTCATACACATGAACTACTGCTTTCTTTATCCTGTGAGGGTGTAGGTGGAGCTGTGCCCCCATTAGGGTGAGTGATATTACTTTTGCAAAGCAGCTTAGCCTCGTGTCCCTTCACTCGGAGGCAAAGTACTTCAGCTCGCCGCAGGTTCGTTTGCACCAGAGCTAAACCAATCACTAATCACTGACCTGCACTAATCATTAAGGAGCTCCTTCACTGCACGTTTTTACTAAATCACACCCTCTGTCACACAACAACTGAATACAATTTAAGATCATTTGGAGGATCAGCACCTCCAAATCTGAGGTCATGGTCCTCAGTCGGAAAAGGGTGGATTGTTCTCTCCAGGTTGGGGGTGAAGTTCTGCCTCAAGTGGAGGAGTTCAAGCATCTAGAAGTCTTGTTCACGAGTAAGGGAAGAATGGAGCGCGAGATCAAAAGATGGATCAGTGCAGCTTCTGCAGTATTGTGGACACTGTGCCGGTCCGTTGTGGTGAAGAGAGAGCTGACATGACAGGGGAAGCTCTCCGTTTACTGGTCAGTCTACGTTCCTACCCTCACCTATAGTCAAACTCTGGATTGTCGCTGAAATAATGAGATCACATATCCAGGCGGTCTAAATGAGTTTTATCTGCAGGGTAGCTGAACTCTCCCTTGGAGACAGGGTGAGGAGTTCAGTTATCTAGAAGAGACTTTGAGTAGATCCACTGCTCCTCCACATCCAAAGGAGCAAGCTGAGGTGGTTCTGACATCTGGTAAGGAAGCCCCTAAATGCCTCCCTAGAGAGGTTTTCCTGGCATGTCCAGATGGAAGGAGACCCTGGGGAAGACTCAGGACACAATAGAGAGACTATGTCTCTTAGCTGACTTGGGAATGCCTTGAGGTGACCTTCCAGAAGAGCTGGAAGTGGTGGCAATGGAAAGATATCTGGACCTCCCTGCTCAAGCTGCTGCTTCCAAGACCTGACTCCAGAACAAGTAGGGAGGGAGGGGGATAGATAGATAACTTGAATTTACACCTTTTAACCATTTTTCATCTTTTGTTGCCATTGAGTCTTGTACAAACAACTGGTGATGATAAACCTTCATCCACTGTGGCTTGCTCAGGGGTTCTCCAAAAATATCCACTTCAATTGGTTTCTATTTGGGGACACCAAAATGTTCAAGTACCACCAGCACTGCTTGTACCACAGTCTGAGAACCATGGTGCTGCACATACCAGTTGTTCCAGTCAATTTCATTTACCATTATAACTCCACCAATTCACGACTAAAGTAATCTCAAGGCACTATAAACAAGTGGTACACTGATGTCCCCTCATTGCTGAGGAATTTGAGTAGTTAATGTTCGTAGTTTTCAAGATGAATGTTTTTCTGGACGGGAAATGAACAGGGAATGCAAATAAACCTTAATGTTTTTGGTGCAAGATATTCAAGTGGGTAGGAGTTACTCTGGGGAGAAGAACAGAGGGAGTTTAGTTCCTTGTTCGAGGCAGCACAGAGTGATGGATACTGGTGATGGTGGGAGCAATTTTATCCTCCACCAGCATTGGAGGAGCTGGGGGTTGGCCATTAGTGGACTTGGGCAACAGATTAATCTTTGGCCACCGCAATCATTTAAGGAAATTATACCTGTGGGCAAAATAAAAACTATAAAGCATATAAATGATCGGGATGGCTGGTTAATTAATATACTGAATATAAATGGCCATTTTACATTTTGACTTGGCAACCCATGTTTTGATAGGAACCTTTCTTAGGCCTAGATGCAGCCACACACCAAACTGGAAGGTGGCATTTCATTGCTTATTTTTCAAGTTATCCAGCTCACAAGATGCACCAGATGGATGGAGGGGATTTCCAAGTCCCCTCTTCCCTCAGCCAAGGGACAACAAATGGACCAAATACCATCCATCCATCCATTATATTTTACCCGCTTCTTCCTTTTAGGGTCATGGGGGTCACTGTGTGAGAGGCGGTGGACACCCTGGACAGGTCTCCAGTCCATCACAGGGACACATAGCGACAAACAAGACAACCATTCATTCTCACACCTAGGGGCAATTGACTGTCAAAAACAGTTAAATTCACATTCAAAACAGTCATCTACAGTTCAAAAAAATTCAGTTGTAATACAATAATAGTATTGTGAAAAGCTAAAAGTATCGAATATCGGTATAAACACGATAATTATCGTCTACCTGGCAACCCCGTCCGCCTGTTAATTGCAGCGGAGCGTGTCTCTAAAACACACGCACGTGTCCAGCTCGTGTAAGACTTTCTTTAATCTCTAAACGAACATTTTATTCGAGTCCAGTTAGCCCACTAAACATGCCACTTTGTGTTGGGGATGCTCCCGGCGGCGGCCCGGACCGACAGCCGGGTGGACGCATTTTCGCAGTTATATAACCCGCTCCTTAACAGCGAACCCCCCACGAGCCTTCCAACATGTAGCCTAGCTTAAAGGCCGGTACAAAACACGAACTCATGTGATGTTAGCGGGTCGAAACTGCGGCTGCTGAGAGGTCTGTCTCCGGCGCAGTCTGCTTCGTGAGACATTTTGTTCCGGACAAATTAATTCAGCTGTAACCACATGATGAAATATGTCGGACTCACCTCCGGCTGCAGCCCACACGAACAGCGCGGTGACCAGAACTCCCATGGAGGACCCGAGAGGAGGATGTTCCGACAGGAGATGTAACCTTGAAGTGATGGGCTGCACCGGATCCGCTGAGCGAGGTGGAGCCGAACCGGTGTCAGGTGACCGGGTCCAGACAGCAGGTCAGGTGCTCCTGGGGGTTCATCAAACGCTAATCTGGACTCGTGTTCTGCACAGATGACCAGAACCAGCACCAGAACCTCAGGCTGAAGTCATGTTTGTTGCATAATGACGAGCTGCGTGCAGGATAAACATTAATAAAATTAATTTTATTTTAAAGTTGCTCAACCCTCAGCAGGTCCTTTAACTTTAATATGTGTTAATTGCTTAGGGGGAACATCGACCACCTCACATAAACTAAAAATTCTATTTTTATATTATTTATTTATATTATATCAGGTCTCTCTTGTAAATGAGTCCTCGAGGCTCAATTTACCTGTCTAAATAAAGGTTGAATGAATATTGTCTTCCACATGTGACTATTTTAGCTTGAAATAAAAATATACAATTTAAAAGACAGTTTAAAAACAAAAGCATTTTCCCCCTGTATCCATCCATTATCTTCCTCTTGTTCTGGATTCTGGACTCGGGGCAGCATCTTGAGCGCTCTCAGGACATTATTACCTGCAGTGTCCCCTCAGTGAGGACTGAACTAGGCTAAAGGGCCTTCTCCTACTCCACTTCTGTTTCTTGAAGTATCTGGCAAAAATACCTGAAGTACTCAACCTTGACCTCTCTAATGCCCCTTTTCCATTAGTACCGGTACGGGCCGGTACAGCCCGGCTCTACTCTACTCGGTACGGTACAGGTTGTGTTTCCATTATGCTTTCAGTACCGGTTCCAGTGGGCGGGGTTCAAATTGACGTCACCACCTCTCACCAGCTGGTGGCGCTGAGACGCAGAAACTGTTTTCTGTACAGGTTGAGAATTTATGTTATTTTGAAGTTGTGTGTATGTATGTATGCATGTATGTGTGTATGCACGTATACATGTGTATAAATATATACATATATACACATATATATATATATATTTATACACACACACACAAATATATATGTACACACATATGTGTATATATTTATGTGTGTATATATATATATATATATATATATATATACACACACACACACATATATATATATCATATGTGATATATATATATATCACATATGTATATACACACAATTATGTATATAAATGTATATATATACACATGTATTTATATACATATATATGTATTTATATATATTCATATATATTTATATACATATATATGTATTTATATATATTCATATATATTTATCTATATTTATTTATAGATATAAATATATATATATATGTATATAAATTAAAACTCTGATGAACCAGATTCTACAAAAACATTAGATTTAAATTTTTATAGGTTTTCATCATCATTTGATGTATTTGCATTCATTGTGTCTACTTTTAATGTTCATTTTAAATGTGTGGTTTTCTTTCTTGTTCACATATAAACATTTTATTTTTAGCTTTGCTTTAAAGTTCTTGTTTTGTGATTTGTACATTTGTGGGTTAAAATAAAGTTGAACTGAAGGTCGTCTCTTCTTTAAACATGTTTGAGGGAAATATTCCTGAGATCCAATAGTTTTGTGTCTTTCTATGATTTTCAGCTGAGTTAACAGTCATTAAAGTGAAAACAGGATTTCACGATAAAGCTGGCACCGTTTTTTTTTGTTTTTTTTTTTAATCTTCAACGCTCTGCTGGTCTCGCACGACACTGCCCGCAGTCACACGATCCTCTCCTCCGGAGAAGAGGAGGCTGGGAGGCTCATCTTTCCAGCTCCAGTTCAGCTGGTGACTCCAGAGGCTGTTCCAAGACCCCAGCCGCGCGTAATCATGAAGGTCCGACCCGCGCAGACAGGCGGGCAGAGACGGGTCTGCGACGAACGGTGGAAGCGATTTTAAAAAACATTTTACGTGTAAAAAAATAATAATCATTTTTAAATCGCTTCAGCATTTTTTTTAAACATTTTTTGTATAAAAACAAAATATTATTTTATTTAAAAATCGCTTCCAGCGTCCGTCCCAGACTGTCCAGTCCGCCTGACTGCCGGGCGGGATTGGGATTCAGCCTTCATGATTACGCGCGGCCGGGGTCTGGCAACGTCCATCTGCGAGTCCCCATCTCCAGATTCACAGTGACCTGCGGAGCTCTGAGCACACAAGGCTGGTATCCAGAACCCGAGCCTCCGAGTCGGCACATCGAAGGATCTTCCGCGGTGACCAGCTGAACTTGGAGCCGGGGAGATGACGCCCTGCCCGGCCTGGCGCTCCGAGGCTCCGGAGGGAGGATCGGGGTACACCAGCAGAGCTCCATCCAGCTTGCTCTGAATTATGTTGTCGGCCACCAAGCACAAAAAATGCCAGCACATCAACATTAGACCAAGATGTTGTCAGTATTGTTTTTAAAATCTTTAAAATAAGTCCAGGCTGCTCCAGTCCGAGAAATTGCAAATGGCGGATTATTGTTTTGAAAGTTTCTGAAGGATCCAGTGACTCCGCCCCCAACTCCGCCCCCGACCAATCAGTGACCGACAGTGTACTGATGTCACGTTTTTGTACCTCTTCGTACCGGTTAGAACCACAGAGCCAAGGGTACTGAAAATAGTAACAGGTGCTAAGTACCGGTACTAATGGAAAAGCCTCAGAACCGGGCCAAGTAGGGTCGAGTCGGCCCGTACCGGTACTAATGGAAAAGGGGCAAACGTGGCTTTAAGCATCTGTTGGACTCCTGGCAAGGATCAATGCAGACATGTTCCTGTTAGCCCACTAAACATGTCACTTTGTGTTGGGGATGCTCCCGACGGCGGCCTGGACAGACAGCCGGGTGGACGTATTTTCGCTGGTTGAAAGGTTGAATGAATGAAACCTCGTCCAGCTCTTCTGGGAGGATTCCAAGGCGTTCCCAAATCAGCTGAAAGATGTAGTCTTCCACTTGGTCTCCTCCCAGTTGGACATGCCCGTAAACCCTCAGGCGTCCAGAGAGCATCCTTACCACAGGTGAAGGTAGGAACATACACCAACCAGTAAATGGAGAGTTTCTTGCAGCTCAACTCCCTCTTCACCACAATGGACCGGCACAGAATCCATAATACTGCAGAAGCTGCACCGATCCGTCTGTCGATCTCATGCTCCATTCCTCACTTGTGGAAAACCCCTTCTCCACTTGAGGCAGAACCTCACAACCTGTAATTCCCCCCCCCCCCCCCCCCCCCCAGTAGTAGACATAATTTATTTTTTGACAATTTTTCAACAATGTCATCTGAAGTTTTGTGGAAACCCTCCAGATCTTTAAGCTGAAAATTGATCTTTTTACAGTTACTAATGCGTAAAATCGGGCATCATGTCCCCAAATAGTTTCTTTGCAATTTCTGGTTAACGTTAATCTTTGTTTCAGCCCTCTACACTTGCTTTTTATTTATTTATTTTTTTAACATATTTTTATACGCAAATGCAGCCATGCACTGCTGTCTGAATGACTGCAGAGCAGCTGAAACAGATATGAACACTGTTTAGACAGAAGTTTAAAAAAAAAAAAAATAATTAGGCATGAAACTATCTAGACCACATGTCCAGATGCATGATCAATAATCCAGGTAGATGCATTGTTCAGTCAGGTCATCTGGACAGTTTCTTTTTTTGTTTTGTTTTGTTTTAAGAGACATGTCGTACCTTCATCTGAAGGACTTCATCAATCTGAGGAGTCACAAACAAACCGTTTCCCCACAAAGAAGCACACTAGTGGACCAACCAGTTTGCTGGGGACAAGATGGTTTCTGGGGGCCGCCCTCTACCCTGTCGACTCCTCCCAGGCAGGCAGCCGCAGCCAAAGTGGTTCAAAACATCAAGGTTCATGCGCAATAATCCAACAATGTTCAGTCAGGTCATCTGGACAGTTTTTTTTTTTTTTTTGGTTGAGATGTTTCGTCCTTCATCCGAAGGACTTCATCAATCTGAGGAGTAACAAACAAACGTTTTCCCCACAATTTTTATTATTATTATTGATTATTATTATTATTATTATTGAGCGTGAACCTTGATAAATTCAGTTCCATTCAGTTTATTTCTATAGCACCAAGTCACAACAGAAGTCACCTCAGGGCACTGAACAGAAACATTCACAAACATTATAAATGCAAATTAGAAAAGTTATGGAAGGAAGGAAGCCAGCAGATGTGTTGTCTTCATTTCGTCGCTGTCTCCCATCTTGAGCTAGCACAAAGGCAACAGTGGGAAGGAAAAACTCCTGAGAAACCTCCCTGTGTAACATACAAGTGTGTTCTTGTTCTTTACATCCAAACTAAAACAATTTTGTTGAACGGGATGAGAGGCGAAACTCACGGCAACATCCAGCCAGGATAGACCGGGTGAGTGGAAGACTGTCCCGGTAAGTCTTCGCTTTTTACATTTGAGAGCCTTTACAAAGCATCACTGAGTGAGTCGGTACAAAAATCAAAAGGATAAAGACAGAGGTAAAATGAAAAAAATAAAATAAAAATTCTGAAAGGAATGCATTATGTCATGATATTGTAATAAATTTGAGTCACGCAGGCAAATCATCACCACACATAAGAAAATAAAGGCTTTTTATTAATTTAAGACTCCCAAAAAAAGGGGGCGAAGGATCCAACCTGAGAACAGAACTGACTATCAAAGGCAGTTTATAATCCAGATTCCACCACAGCAACCCACCCCAACTACCGATTACAAATTACCCACAGCAAACACCCTCCTCTAGAGAGGAGGCACTGCAATCTCAACCAACATGCAGGGTGGTGGTGTTGGCAGTCCTTTAAGGCTGTGATAAAAACAGAGAGAAAGGTGGTTAGGTGTTCCTGTGTGAGGAGGGGAGGTTTGGTGCCTCCTTTAGACAGAGCTGAGCTGGGTGCAGTCACCATCTTGCTCTCCTGCTCCTCTCAGCTGCTCTGACCTGTTGTGGAGCCAAACCACCTAAAGGATGCTGCCACACCAACCACTAAAAGCTCTCCCTCTGTGTTCCGAGACCTTCATTCAGTGTGCTGCTCCTCTGATTGAACACACCTGTAGTTTATCAGTCCCTTCGCCTCCTCTGATGAGTCTTACCCAAGCACATCACACTGTAATAATGGGATCAGAAGATGCATTTATAATGGATTTCAATATGGTCGTTTTTCTGCAAATTAACACTAGAGGGCAGTATTGTTACTGTAAGGTTTGGGGAGTGTTTGAAAGAATTCTGACAACATTTTTAAAAAATGACAAAGATTTTTAGGCTTCGTCAGGAACAATCGTGTTTATGGACAGCACCCAATAAATAAATAAAAACATAGAAAAAATAAATGCGTGGTTGATTTTTTTCCCCATGAGTTAAAGTGCTTATGTTTTCACACAAGATCAAATAAACCTGGTAAAAATGTTCCAAAACCGCACAGGAAACATGTACAAAACATGTAGTTCACATATGCCACATGTGAAAATCACTTGTAACATGTATGTAGTTTGTCCATACATGTGGAAGCTCCATATCTTTTTTCTAAAGACCCACTTTCTGCAGCCTGCTTCGACTTTAAATGATGTTTCGGCTATGAAACATGGAAGTTACAGAGGGTCCAAAATGTAAATATCATACTCGTTTTGTGAAATACTTATTTTAATGTGGATAATTATTTTGCCTGAAACAAAGTCATTAATTGAAGTGCTTTTTTTAAATGAATGTTCCCCCCAAACTACAGGAAAAACAAATATGAAATGGTGGTGGAGAATAAGGTGCTTCAGTATTTCTGGATTGACACCCAACTTAATAATAAAGAGACATTTATGAGGTTTGTCTGGGTTACGTGTTCACTTTTTATGGCTGTAAAATGCAACACATTTAATTCTTAAACATTTTAGCATTTTAAAATCAGAAATCCTTCAGTCAGAACCTAGAGAGTACTTTATTAATTTACTGTATTATAAATGTGTTTATAGATATAAATACAGTGATAAAAGCTGTGTTAGGGTCTTAATTATTTTCAAATATCTCTGTTAGGAAAATAAATTTAAATAATTAATAGACGGGACACAAATGAAATAATAAACGTTTATTGTTTTTCCCCCTCAGTGTATTTCTCCTGATTTTGGTACATTCATGGTTAGATGGTCCTAAAACGACTCGAGCAGGTTTTGTTTTAAGGAACCGAACACATAAAATCTCATCCCGTTCAATGAGCAGGTTTCCACCTGGGATGTGTGTGGATGTTGGCTGGCGAAGGATCGCTCCACTCCTACCAGCCTCATCTGGTCTTGGGAGCGGGCCTGGGGGGCCGAGTGGACTGGTTGGGTCCGATGTATTTCAGGGGCGTGCACTTCGGCTTCTCAATCACTTCCAGACCCAAATAAGGCTGCAGGGCTCGGGGAACCCGCACGGTTCCATCCTGGAGACAAAGAAAAACGTGAAGTCCAGCAGGTTTATGGAGGATTGAAGAACAAAAAGGTTCTGCCCAGAAAGTGAACATTAAAAATAGCTGTTCTAGTTGCTAACTGGAGATTGACATCATTGGGGAAGTGGCGGTATCTTGTCTGATCTCTTTGTCTTGTCCCCCCTTGCAACTTGTCCATCTGCTGCTCCTGCCAGCAGAGAGCAACACTTTATGGCCCCCGTTGCAGAGGGACGAAGAGGGGACTTTGGAAATACCTACCTACCAACTGGATGACTGTTTGATAACTTGAAAAATAAGTGAGGTACCGAATTCCATTATGGTGTGTGGCTGCATCTATGGGTAAGAGAGGTTGAAAATTAGATTGCCAGATCAAGATCCTGGATGGACATTTATGGCTGCTAAATGTCCGTTCATGTTGTGAGCATTACATCTTGAACAAACGGTACGCCAATGTCCCCCTTTGCTAAAGGATTGGAATACAGTAGTGAATGTTTGTAGTTTTAGGATGGAGGAAGAGTGACAGATCCTGGTGAGTGGAAGAAACAATTTTATCCATGTGCAATGACACATGGCTGTGCCACATGGGTGGTTGATGGTGGCCAAGGCCCCCAAAGATTAATCTTCAGCCATCCCCATCATTTAAATAAATAATTTTAAGTAATATAAAACCAAGCAGTGTTTCCTCAAATGACAGGGGCAGTCAGTTTACATATCTATCTATCTATCTAGACCTGGATGGATTGACAGATAAGACAGATACTGTATTTTTTGCCGTACACGTCGCACTACCGTATAAGTCACATCAGTCTAAATTTGTCTAATAAAGTGAAAAAAAAACAAATACATTGCTTCGCCGTATGTCGCATCAATTATGTGTCACCGTTGACGCGTCACGTTTGTTACGCATCACCGCTGACAACCCGGAAATGTGGGCCGAACCTGGAAATGTGGGCCGATGTGCCAAAAATCGATGGGCTGCCAAATGGCAGCCGTGGGAGCGTGCACGGGAGGACTTTAACAAGAATTTAACAAGATAAACACTTAAAAACAATTATTTGTTTGCTTGACATTATAGTAAAAGGTGTGTCTCAGTGGAACTTTTCCTTAATAAATGCACTTTAATGGTCAAATCAGCTGCATTTCACCTGGGCGGCAAAATGCAGCTGATTTGATGTTTGCTCCAGGAGTTCCAGAGCGAGACAAAGGTGGCTTTGTATGGCAAGCCAAGTGTCTCATTAATAGCCACTTCTGCCAATTAATGAAACACTTGGCTTGCCATACTAGTCGAGGGCCCTCTAGTGGCTGAAAATGGTAGTGTTCAATATTTTCCATGTCAGAATGAATGAAATCGTCAGACCTCAGCCAAAAATTGGGTTATAAATATGGGGAAACACATAAATAGTTTGCTTCTCTGTATAAGTTGCAGGCAAGCTAATTTATGCAAAAATCTGTGACTTATACGACGGAAAAAACGGTAGATAGACACAGACATCTTGGATTCTGACAAGCCAACAAAATTTTTGATATGGACCTTTCTTCCCTCTACATGTAGCCACACGCCAAAATGGAAGTCGGTACCTCACCTACTTTTCCAAGTTATTCAACTCACAAGATTTACTAATACACGTATATGGTGGCAGCCATCTTGGATTTTGATGTGATAATCCAATTTGCAAAAGGAACTTTTTTTATACCTGCAGCCACACACCAAAATGGAAGTTGGCGTCTAACTTACTTTTCAAGTTATGCTCACAACACGCACGGATGGATGAAAGGTATTTCAAATTCTCCTTTGCACTTTGCAACAGGGGACAAATATAAGTGAGGTAAATGGACTGTACTCATAGCACCTTTCTATCTTATCAAGATACTCAAAGCTCTTTACAACACAATCTGTGCCCTCATTTACCCATTCATACAGCACTCTACTAGATCTATACAAAGCTAATGGAACAGATCCTTCTATAGAGACTAATCAGAGCTTTAGACCACATTCAAACACAGATGGATGGGCACAAGTCGGAGGCAGTGAGGGGTTCAGTGTCTTGCCCAAGGACACTTCAACATGTGACTGGATAGGTACCGCCTTCCATTTTGGTGTGTGGCTACATCTAGGCATAAGAAAAGTTTGTTTCAAAAATTGGGATGCCGAGTCAAAATCCACACATTGGACATCGGTGGGGACATCAGTGCATTGCTTTTGTTTTGTTACTAATGTGGTCAGAACCAACAAAAACTGCTGTCAAACCAAAAGCATCAACATTTTCTCAGCATGTGGCACGTTTCAGCTCCTCTCAGAAACTAAAGACTCTTGTATTCCTAGTTTTTTTTCATTTTCAGTAGCCTTAGCAGAGTGTGGGTCGTTGGTATCTTACTTTGGCCTGGTGAGTTTCCAGGATGGCGATGATTGTCCGAGGGATCGCACATGCAGTGGCGTTCACCTACGTTGAGGAAAAGCGTCGTTATGGAGCTGGCATGCTGCTGTTACATAACGCACGGCATCTGCAGCCTTACTGTGTGGGCGTACTGCAGGCTGCCGTCATCCCTCTCATACAGAATGTTCAGACGTCTGCTCTGATAATCTGTGCAGTTGGATCCACTGGAGATCTGAGACACACAGGAAAACTCATAAACAGCATGATACTGGCCTAAGATGGTTTGTTCGTGTGTCACTGAGCAGATCACCAGTTTACATCTAGAGTTATTTGATTTGTTTGACAAAAGGGGCCGACCTCTCCATAGCTGTTCCTCCCCGGCATCCACGCCTCAATGTCGTACTTCCTGTGTGCTGGAGGACCCAGTTCCTGAGTGGGCATGTCCAACACTCTGAAAGAAATCCACCAAAACAAATCAATTCAAAAGTACGTATTGACAGAACGTGACAACTCGCTCAAAAATATTAAACAGATGACGAGATTTAATTCGGTATAAACTGGAGATTTTTTTTAAAATTAGGACTTCTTGTTTATAACAGCACACCTATCAATGAAAAACACAAGTGGAGCTGTTGGGTAAGCGATCTTAGTCGAAAGATGTTGGGACATCAAGAATGTTGAGTGTCTGCTGTCACTGAAGACCTTAAACCTTTTGGCTCTTACAGAAACATGTCTCCATTTCAGCAGAAGGAGACAGTTTTCTTTATCATGGTTAAAACAAAAACATCCCAATTGATCATTTATTTAGGATTTAGACGTACCTTCAATTATTTTTATTCTTGCCCAGAATCCCTAAACTCACAATTACAACTTGTTTTTCTTACTGGTCTACCACCTGCTGACTGTTTTACAGCAGCTCTACCTGCAGGGAAAACAGCACATGGAGGTGAGTGGATGTTCTTTCAGAACAGTTGGAATAACCAAAACAGGTTAAAACTCAAGAACGGACCCAACTTCCTTACTGCTTTGTTGTCTGTTCCATTTTATCAGGGGTCTCCACAGCGAGTCCTCTGCATCCTCTGTCCTCACTGCAACTACCTCCATGTCCTCTCTAACTGCATCCATGCATCACCTTTTTTCTTGACAGTTGCATTTCTAACATCCTTCTACCAGTATGCCCACTGTCCCTCCTCTGGACATGTCCAAACCATCTCAGTCTGGCCTTGTAAACTTCCCTTGGACCTTTGCCGACACCCTTTTGTCACAAATCACACCTGAAACTTTTCTCCATCCATTCCATCCTGCCTGGACTCTCCTCTTCACCTCTTTACCACATTCCCCATTTTCCTGGACAGTGGACCTCAAGTACTTGAAGTCCTGAATCTTTGTGTCCTCTGCTCCTTGTAGCCTCACTGTTCCACCGACCTCCCTCTCATTCACACACATGTTCTATGTCTTACCACGGCTGACTTTCATTCCTCTTCTTTCAAGTGAATACCTCCACCTCTCCAAGTTCTCTTCCACCTGTTCCCTGTTCTCACCACAGATCACAATGTCATCTGCAAACATCATCGTCCATGAGGATTCCTGCCTGACCTCATCTGTTAGTCGGTCCATCACCAGAGCAAACAAGAAGGGGCTCAGAGCCGATCCTTGATGAATCCCACCTCCACCTTGAAGCTATCTGTCACTCCTACAGTACATCTCACCACTGTCCTGCTGTCCTCATACATGTCCTGTACCAGTCTAATATACTTTTCTGCCACTCCAGATGTCCTCATGCAATACCACACCTCCTCCCTCAGCACCCTGTCATATGATGTTTCTAAATCCACAATAGAGTTCTTTCTGACCCCCTCTGTACGTCTCCTCTCCTACTTATCCTCAAAGCAAAGATGGCATCTGTGGTGCTCGTTCTTGGCATGAATGAATGGATCCACCCATTATTAAAAAAAGATAAATAAATAAAAACACAAACAAAACTAACTGTAGTGCTGTCTACATTTTTAAACATCTCATGCTGATAAACATGTTAAATTATAAGTATTCACTCCAAAAGCCAGGCTGGATGTGTGAAAGGGACTAATAAATTAACGGTGTTAGTTTAGGAGTTGATCAAATGTATTTGTTAAATCAAACACGATGAGCCATTTGTAGAACGTTTGTACTTCTGACATATCAACTCTTTGGTCTAAAACAATTTAACAAGACAAATGTTGTGCTGTCTGACCTATAATGTAGTTCAAGTGCAGAAAACATCTCTTTTTGCAAAGAGACAAACTCTTCGAACAGCTGAGTGCTCTCCTCTCCGGTCTCATCAGCCGTCACACCAAACATCTCTACCTGAGTGACAACGTTTCAGCATCAGGTTACCAGAACAGTAAATGTTTACATTTTTCAACATGAAGCCTCTCGTGTGTTTGGTGTGATGATGCCGTCAGTTTGACCTTATTGAAGTGATGAACTCTGTAGAGCCCCCAGGGCTCCTTCCCGGTGTCCGTCTCTGCTCTGTAGCAGGTGCTGCAACACACCGTCCTGCGGAAACAAACACCACCTTGTGTCAGTTAGAACTACTGCGACACCACCTTCAATCTGCTGCGAATGGGTGAGAAGAGCGTCCAACCTGACGGGCAGGTCCTTCCAGTTTACTGCATGGTCCATGAAATAACCTGAAGAGATGAATCACAACAACATGACTGCTTTATACAGTAAACAACACTGAGTATTAATTTATACTATAGTACGTGTTACTTCAATGAAACCTGGTTAAAATAAATATGCAGACCAGGATCACTACCTTATAAAATAAAACTTGTAAAATAAAATAAATATTGTGAGGAATAGGAAGCATGGGATAAATTTACATTGTTATGCTGATGATGGTTATATTTCTTCATGAAACCTGATCAATCCAAACAGTTACTCAGATTACAAGCTTGTCTTAGAGACATTTAAAAAAAAAGCCTGTATGGCTCTAAGTTTCTGCTTTTAACCTCAGACAAGACAGGGGTCATGGTTTTTGAACATCTTGGGAACAAACTGCTTTCACTTCTTCTGGATGGCAATTGACCTCCAGTTCTAATTTAAAGAACCTTGGTGCTGTTTTTGATCAAGACATGTCCTAATTTTCTGACAGCGCTGAAGAGTCTCACCTGCCACTCCGACCTCTCCAGTTCCAGCCAGATTCAGATCTGGAAATCGTTCGGGGTTTAAGGAATAGACCTGAGAACGATGTGCGTTGGGCTGCATCCCACACCCCTCCTGGAGAAAGATGGAAAATAATAAAAGAAATAAAAAACGAGAGAGTGACAAATCGTATGGCTGTGCTCCATCACATCCACTAAAACACATCTTGAATCTAAAATAGGACTTTATTGTCATTAACAGAGTGATTTGGGCAAATAAAAGGTGCTTCATATTTGGTTGTTTGGGTCATTGTGACCAGAAGAACATTGTGAAGCCTTCAACCACAAGTTGTCAGGCATAATAATAAAACCTGGGCAAAGACTGAAATAAAAGCTGGTTGAATAAATGAATGAATAAAAAGCTGCCCACACAAAGAACAATAACCATCAACAAAGATTGTTCTAATTCATCTGAATAACAAAGTCTAAATCACAAATACAGAAACAAATATAGCTTTATTTATGGGTAATTAAATCATTCAGACTGATTCACGGGCATCTTGAGAACAATAAGACAACAACTCCAACTACAGCAGGGTTCATGTTCTGAAAAATGGACAAATCAAGACAAATTATCCTCTAATTTCTTACATTGATTCATGTTAATTAAAACAATGGATCAAAGCTACTTAACCTGCTTTACAAATGTTTGGCTAAATTTACATCTCTGTTTAATGTGAGCTCGTTCTTAGATTTTTGTCTGTTGTGCATCAAATGCAGTTATACGTATCTGATACCAATCTTTAGTATTAACAAGCATCTCAGACATTTAACTGATTATTTTGTTGTTGTTGTTATTACCATATTTTTCATATATAAGGCGCACCGGATTATAAGACGCATTAAGTGAAACAAAACAGTCAGAAAAGTCTAACTTTATTCAGCTCATTCACAATAACCACATAAAATCAGTTTGAGGTCAGTAAGCACAACCAGAATTAATACATAATTGTCGATTTTTGAGAAAATTGAAGGATTTTAAGTGTGCCTTATAGTCTGAAAAATAAGTTAATAACAGAAATCTGATACTTACAAACACTACTCCCTTCAGCATGTCAGGCACAACCATGGGGATGAAGCCCTGCAGCAGGAGAACAGAAAGCTCAGCTTCAACTCCAAATCACGTTAAATGATGGTATGTTCATTTTGTAAAGACTGTGTCCAACACAGGACAGTTCAGTTCTCTGAACATCAAGTTACCCGTCGCTGCAGCGTGTCCAGGGCCAAGTTCTGGAGGGCAGTTTGAAGCCTGGCCCCTGCTCCTCGTAAATAGTACGACCGGTGGCCAGTGACGTGAGACAGGTGTCTACAGCAGAGGACAGGCTCAGCATCACGTAGGAGCAGACAACTCCAGCTCAGAGTCAGCTGAGACGTAATGAATGTAATGATATGCAAATCTCATTTTATTTACAGTGGAACACAGTAGAACATTTGGGACGGGGCGACAAAAAGCTGTAAAGGTGAGTGACATGGATAAGAAACAGATGGAAGAGCATCTTGATAGGCTTGTCACAATAACAAATTTTGCTGGGCAATTAATTGTCTCAGAAATTATTGTGATAAATGATAATATTGTTTGAAATTTGACAATAATTAGTAATTATTGTCAAATTTAAGAAGAAATGTTGGTTAATTTTTGTGTGTAGTACCTATTTTTACCACCTGATGGCAGCATAAGACTGAACCGAAGGATGGATAGTGAGGGAGTGAGCAGCGTGTCTCTTTAAGGAAAATGGGAGGGAGGCCCCTTGACGTGACATGAGCTGTCTCTCTTTGGTTCTCCAAATGACGGACGCTCTGTGTGGTTTGAGCTCTTTATCATAGCATTTTTCACACAAAGCTTTTAATTAAAAAAAAAATCAACAAACAATTTCTCAGCTTCTTTTTGTAGCGAAAAACAACTTTTTAGACGAAGGCACGGGTTTCAACCGTGAATTTTAGAGCTTCGACAAGACTGAGGTTTATTCCCGAGGTCAGCCTGTTAGCTTAGCTCATAGCTTAACTTCACAGCCTAGCTGCTTGAAACGATCCAAAAATGTGATTTTAGATGGTTAAAATGGATTTTAATGAGAAAAGAGAAAGGGAGGGGTCAGTGAAGAGCACCGGAGTTGAGACTTTTGTCATCCAGTGTCTTCAGTAGAAAGAGAGAGACATGAAGAAACGATAAAGCCGATAAATGAAAATGAGGTCGATAATTTTCATTCATCATGCGATTAATTGATTTAGTGTTTATCGCGACAGGCGATAAACAATAAATCAATCAGTAGGACTAATAATAAACTAATAATAAATCAGTATAATAAATCAGTATAATAAATCAGTAGGACGAACAACCGGCTTTTGTAGCAGAAGAGTCCAGGTACTGTCCCACCTGCAGTCCAGACCTCTCACCAACTAAAAGCATTTGAAGCATTATAAAACTAAAGAGTCCAGGAAAGATGCAGAACTGTAGAACAGCTAGACTCCTCCATCAGACCAGAATGGGACAAAACCTCCTGCAGCTGGTCTGCTCGAGTCCTAGATGTTTACAGACGGTTGTTAAAGGAAGAGGGGCGGCTTTACTGTCGTAAACATGGACCTGTCCAAATATTTTTCAGAAGCGTTGCTGCCATCTAACTCAGAATGACACATTTAAAAATAAGAATTTAAAAAAATGTTTCTTAGTGTAAACATTTTTTTATGTTCACTGTGTCCTGTTGTAAATAAAAAGGGCTTATGAAATGTGAAAATTATTGCATTCTTTAAACATTTTTTTTTTTTTTACATTTTACACAACAGCCCAACATTTTTTGAATTGGGGTTGTAGAAATATTTTGCACATAACAAGGAAAGTCCACCTCACTTCTGCCTAATGAGGCCTAACTCCTCCCCGAGCTCCACGTGGCCTCTGGGCTTAAAGTCGAACTCTGCAAAAAAAAAAAAAGATGAAACGTGTGTTCAAGATTAAAAACAAAAGCACCTCATATTTAAGCATGGACAAGTTAAATCATGTGCACACATTGCATCAGTCACCTGGTTTCTGTCCAACGTGCTCCACCACTCTTACCTGGCTCTCATCTCCAACCGGCTACAAAAAGAGAAGAGTAACTTAACGTGACAGAACCCACAGAAGTCCTGTCTCAGGAAGGCTGCGTCCTATCCTCACCACATCGGGGTGCGTGGAGTTGGGTAGTCGGAGCGCTCGGCTGTAGTGCTCCTCGTCCAGTTCAGTATCTTTGATGTAGAGATGATTCAGTTTGATGCGGATCTGCCGACCCTTCAGCCGAAACTGAGTGTACTCTGGAAGCTGCAGGGAAAGAGAACTCCTGAGACAAAACGCCATGCCTGCTGTACATCCACTTCCTTAAAGTTTCATTACATTTGTCCGGTGGATCAGAAGACGTCTAATGGACAAGCAAATAAACACGGACAATAACAGTGTCATCTGCCTTTTCTTCAGCAGCAGGTGATGCTTGTATCATTTGTGAGGCTGAACTTACGTTAGCGAGGTCCTTCTTGTCGTGCTGATCCTGACAGATAAAGAAAATGAAAGTTACAACTTCATTCTTTTAGGTGTGAGGATGAAAAACAACATATTAAATGCAAAAAGTGGTACAGTAGTCCCTCGTTTATCACAGGGGATCCGTACCCTGAAGCCCCGCGATAAGTGAAAAACCGTGAATTAGGAATAGTAGTACCAGTAGTATATATATATATATATATATATATATAGATAGATGTATAGATGTGTGCACGTTGTCTCTGAATGTTCTTGCGAGTAAAATGTCGGTTAAAAATCTTCACCTGCCGTGAGTTTGTGGTTCTTTATTGAGTAAACGACGTTAGTGAATGACAATTTTTCTAACAACATTCAAGTGTGTAGGAGTTACACTGTATTAAAAAAAGAGGTTGGATTTAGTGATTTATTTAATTTGCTTGTCCAAGGCAACACAGAGTGACAGATCCTGGCGAGAGGAGAGAGCAATTTTATACAGGGCTGGATACATGGTGGAGCCACGGGGTGGTCAATGGTGGCCATGGCCCCCATAGATTAATCTTTGAGCACCCCAATCATTTGAGGAAACTATACTCTTAATCAATCTAAAATAGAATGAATATTTTCCTCAAATGATATGAACAGGGGCTGTCAGTTCATATGGATTTATGATGGCAGCCATCTTGGATTTTCACTTGCAACACAATTTTTGATGGCGATCTTTCTTATGTCTAGATGCAGACACACACACAAATGGAGGTTGGCACATTGCTGCTTCTTTTTCAAGTTATCCAACTCACATGGTTAATATTTATACACATATGGTAAACTTACACTTATAAGTATAAGTATTATGTGTTGCGTTGTCATCATTGTATGTTCCCATGATGAAATTGGTTCTCTGCATTTAACCCATCACACCTGAGATACACCCAGGTGGAGCAGTGGGCAGCTGTGTAAGTGCCCGGGGAGCAATTAGGAATTAGATGTCTTGCTCAGAGACACCACAACATGTGGCTGGGAATCGAACCGCGACTTTCCGGTCCCAGGTCGGCTGCCCTTCCTCTACCCCATCTCGTCCCCTTTGGTGGCAGCCATCTTGGATTTCAACCTGGCAACTCAATTTTTGAAAGGAATCTTTCTCAGGTCTACATGCAGCCACACACTAAAGATTGAAGTCAGTGTCTCACCTATTTTAAAAGTTATTGCGCTCACATGCGCTCTTGTAAATGAGTCCCCAATGGAATTAATGGAGCTCAGTGGAATTGTATAAATAAAGGTTGAATGAACATGCACGGATGGACAGAGGGGATTTCTAATTCCCCTCTTCGCTCCATGATGTGTGACATGAGATTGTGAGTGGACTCCTTAAAACCTTGGACTTTGTCAGTTTGGACTGAATGACTGAAGAACCAGTCTAACCCCATGACTTACCACCAGTGCTTTGACTGTCTGACTGATGCTTCTCTTCTCCTCCTCCAGCTCAGAGATCTCTGTCCTCACTGCTTGGAGCTCCTGCCACACACTCACCTGCACCCAACAAAGCACACACACACTCAGTATGATCAGGGAAACAAAGAACTTTACCTGAGAATCATACTTTTTTTTTTTTTTTACAAATCTTATGAACCATTTCCCTCAGTACAGACAAGTCACTTCTTGACCTTGTGCCAAAGGAGGTTTCTTGAAGCCTCCTTCATGCATAAGACTGTCCAGGTGACCCAAACCCGCATTAAGACCACTTACAATCTTCCTGACGTCGTCCCCTCGCAGCTCTCCCTTCCTGTTCTCCACATTAGCGATGACTTTGTCGGTCTCCTCGCAGACTGCTCTCATATCCAGCTCGGGCTTGTCGCTGTAGCCTCCGCGGACGTGCTCGTACAAACTGCTCAGAGCTCCGTGATGGTGGGAGAGGCGGTGCGGGATGAACACGCACGTCTTTCGCTTCGAACATTCTCTGGCTACCGGCTGTAACGCGCTGAAAGCAACACCACCGGCTCTTGTTATCATGCTCATGCAGGTCGCCATGTTTGTGAGAACAGGCTGATGTTGCGTTCAATTACTGCAGGAATTAATGAGAGTTGTTCGAACGCTAAGTGGCTGATATTATATTTAGTTAAAAACTTTAACTAACTCATGCTCAGTTGTTTGAGTAGCTAATACTATATTGTTTTCTTTTATTATTTCTCAAAATATTGTTGTTTTCCCGACTGAACATTTGAAACATAAAATAGCCTTGATGTATATGAATGCAACATAAATACGGAAATGACGTCAAAACGTTTTCCCTTCATTAAAGCGCGAGGGACCTGATATTTTAACTTTGCCATATAATCGTGGGTATTATTTTTATAAAACGTTGAGAGCGAGTCGTAGATTAATTTATGTGTTTTTGACCAAAAAAAAAAAACGAGTCACGCCCCTATCTGACGTCACAGGAAGATCAGCCAATCAGACAAGCGGAAATTGAACGTTGCGGTAATCCGGCTCAGACGTGACAAGTGCGGCCGTCTGAAGCTGAGCTCCGCTCTCGTTTACATAAATAAAAACTACATTCCTCCAATTTCACGGCCCAGCTGGACGTGTGGGCTAAAACCGGAGATATGTGTCCCGGAGAGGTGCGCTCACACGGGGGGAGAAGTGTTTGTTTGTAAGCTGTCCCCGCTCCGCCAGGCGGGCGGTGATAGCCTCCACCACCGGGCTGGATGAGCAGCCTGTAGCCGAACGAGGCTTCACCACAGGCCGGGAGGAGCTGCTCAGCAGAGCCCCGAATGCGACCAAATGCTGTAAAGTGTCTAATAACACACTGTTCACCTGGATACACTCATCCTGGATCCTAATTCTTACCGGGAGTGAGGACTAGTAATCGTTCACGGTGGAAACGAGAAGGAGAGCAAAGGTAAAGAAGGCTAAACGGATGCTACAACAACAAGCTTTGTCTTCTATTTGTTTTTTGTTGTTGTTTTTACCACGTGCTAAAAAATATTCAGAGAAAGTACCAGGACTCCAGTCACTCGTAAAAACTGTGTTGCAGCCTAACGTTACTATTGTTAGTTTTTTCTTAATGATCTCAGTACCATGTAACAACAAAGTTAAAACAAATGTGTACAATTGTATATATTTAATATAATTAAAACATACTCAGATCCATTACTTTGTACTGAGATGGACCATGTTTTGCAGCAAAGATGTCCTTGAGCATGTTACCACACCATACCACTATTTATAAAGCACTTACAAACAGCAGCAAGACCAGCCAAAGTGCTGCACAACAAAACAAATAGCAAAGGACACAAGGTAAAATGCATAAATACATTTTGGGGGTTGATGCAAAAAACTGCACCCCTATAGGAAAATCTTCTGCCATTCGTTTTTGTGGATTAGGATTCTACAGAGATGTTTGACTGGGTTCAAGTCTCGGCTCGGGCTGGTCCACTCCAGGACCTTCAGAATTGTCCCTTAGCCACTCCTGTGTTGTCCTCTCTGTGTTTCGGTTCATCTTGTTGGGAGGTAAATCCACAGACCAGTCTGAGATCCTAAGCTCTGTAGAACAGGGTTTTGTTGAGTATATCTCTGTAAGTCAGGTCCTCAGGACGGATTCTTCTTTGTTGAAACGTTTCGTCTTTTATCCAGAAGACTTCTTCAGTCCGAGGAGCTGCAAGAAACTCAGTTTATAAATAGCAACTTGTCAAAGTGGACCAATCAGTTTGCTGCTGTCAGCCAGAACCAGTTGTTCACATGCAAAAGGACCATCGGCCTAACAATAAGTTGTTAGTGCCCTGACGGCCGCTTGCTATTTACAGGGGATTTGAGTGATTCTTACAATACCAGCATTGTAAGAGGGTGGACGTTGAACACTGAGACCCCCACCCCTGTTTAATTCTATTTCAACTCAATTTATTTATATAACGCCAAGTCAAGTCATCTCAGGGCACTGAACAGAAACATTCCATCGCAGACTCATCTTGAGCAAGCATGAAGGCGACAGTGGAAAGAAAAAACTCCCTCATGAGGAAACCTTTAGCAGAACCAGGCTCAGGACAAACGGCCTTCTGCTTTGACCGGCTGGGTTTGAGAAGAACAGGAAGGAGGAACAGATACACAATGGCAGGTGGAGAATCAGGGGGACATCACACTCCCTGCATCAGGGTTGCCAGATAAATTTAAAATGTCTTATTTACCTCCTCCTTTTCAGTGGACATGTTCAACAAACACAATACACACTTCATCTTAGAATATCTTTACTCAGCACATATGGCAGTTTTGATCAAAATACTATCGTTTTAAAGCGACAGTACTATAGTTCATAATTTCTTATCTGGCAACATGACTGACATGAACATTACGGCATTTTTGTGTAATGAACATTGATAAAACACTAAGGTTTCCAGAGGTTATACTCGTGTAAACAGGGCAGAAGTCTTTTGGATAAAAGACGAAACGTTTCATCAAAGAGTCTGTCCAGACGACCTGACTTAACCTTGTTAGATTTTTCTACCTGGATGCATCAAGACTTTTTATTTCCTTCAAGCTTTCCTTTTTTTCAGACTAGTCTTACAGTCTCTGCTGCTGAAAAACACCCCCACATCATGTTTATGCCTCTATACCGTGCTTCACTGTGGGGACGGTGTTGGCAGGTGGTGAGCGGTGCATCACATTTAAAATTGATGCCGAACAGTTCACCCTCGAGTCCTTCCAGTGATTTTTCCTTACAAACTCCAAAAAGGGCTTCAGGTGTTCTGGACTGAGGAGCAACTTCTATTGAATCATGTTCATCTTCTATCTTATTATCCGTAGTCAGTGTTGCCAAGTCTGCTTTGGGCTTGGTTTTTTTTCTAAAGTCGCTTGTAAATCTTGTGAGTCGCAGGTTGTGGTTTTTAGGGCTTGTTTTGAACGTGAAGTTGATTATTTGGGCTTGACTTTCTTTCCGAGTGAAACTAGTTGATTATCTCCCAGCTTCGCACAATAAAGCAAAAGACGAGTGGTAGGTAGTTTGTCCCTTCCACACCCCGTTTCTTGTTTATGGCTCCCTCCCAAGTTGGCGAAGGTACAGGCAAACACCAAACAAACACTCTTACTGTGGCCGACCACTAGGGGGCTCCACTCACACACAGATGTCAGGATGTTTTGTTTTTAAAATATGTAGAAACAATTATTTTACATATTTGTTACATATGCAAAATGTATTTTTAATCAGAGCTTAAAATTATGTTATTCATAATTTTGTTGTTTGTGTGTAATGCCATAATAAATGTATGTTTATACTGTTTAAAAACGGCCTCAGATTTACACAATGTGGTGGGTTGCCAGTTGGGCTTTTTTTGGGCTTGTTTTCATAGGGTTGGTTGATTGTTTCTATCGTGAGATCTGGCAACACTGGTTGCAGAGGCAACAGGTTCAGGAGAGAAACTCGCATCCTTCCCCCTGCTGACACTGTCCAGCTCCTCCTGGGAACCCTGAGGCGTTCCCAGGCCAGACAAGATGCACAATCTCTCCAGAGAATTCTGAGTCTGCCCACTCCTACCAGTGGGACATGCCTTGAAAACCTCCAAGAAACTGTCCAGATGACCCGATTTAACCTTTTTTGTATTTATCTACCTGGATGATTGAGCTTACAAACCCATCCATCCATCCATTATCTTTACCCGTTTATTCCATTTTGGGTCACGGGGGTCGCTGGTGCCCATGTCCAGCAATCACTGTGCGAGGGGCGGGGTACACCCTGGACGGGTCGCAAGTCCATCACAGGGCCACATAGAGACAAACGAGACAAACAACCATTCACTCTCTCACTCACACCTAGGGACAATTTAGAGTTACCAATCAGCCTAACATGCATGTTTTTGGTCTGTGGGAGGAAACCGGAGTACCCGGAGAAAACCCACGCATGCACGGAGAGAACATGCAAACTCCACCCAGAAAGGCCCCGGGACCGGGGTTTGAACCAAGGACCTGCTCACTGAGAGGCAGCAGCTCTACCAGTTGCGCCACCGTGCTGCCCAGCTTACAAACCTTTTTTCTCTAACGGGAGGTGTCCAGGAATCATCCCAATCAGATGCCTGAACCACCTCAACTGACTCCTTTCAATACGGAGGAGCAGTGGCTCTACTCTGAGCTCCCCCTGGAGGATGACGGAGCTCTTCACCCTACCTCTAAGGCCTTTCTACAAAGGAAGCTCAGTTCGATCGCGTGTATCCTGAGGCTCAGTCAGAGTCACCACTGGGTTCTTGGTCATCTCTCTCACTAAAGAGCTTCTATCTCAACTGCTCCGGTTGGCACCACCAGCTCCTGGAAGAGTCCTGCTTGAGCCAAACTTCTGTTATTTGAGAGTTATGAAGCTAACCGTCCTCTTGTTCAGGTCAGCAAAAACCTTTTTGTAGCCTTCCCCAGGTCTGAGGTCTGCAGACAGGTCCTTCTGTCTCGTGGTTTGGATGTTTCAGCTGGTTGTCCTTCTGGACAGAGGTGTTTGACTCTTTAAATCAAGTCTAATCAATTAATTTGACAAGATCTGAACTCTAATCAAGGTGTGGAAACATCTCAGCAGGGATCAAGAAAAACAAGAGGCACCTGAGCTACATTTAAGTTTTTTGCTAAACATCTGAACACTTGGGTACGTGTGACATATTGGGTGTTTTTTATTTTTTTTTTTATTTTAGTAATTTACAGAGTTGTGTAGTTTTATTTTCCCTGTGTCATTACTAGAGAATGATTGTAGCATTAAATTGAAAAAAAAAAAAAAAACTGAAATAAAAGTTTTGTTAGTTAAACAAAAATACTATCAATGTTTGACTGAGGGAACATTTTTCTTTTTTTTAACAGTGTTGAGTCTCTGACCGTCAGATTCTTCAAATATTTAGGACCTATATGCAGAAACCGTGTATGAAACTGGTTTTCCTCATGTCGTTCTGTGGTTTGTGCCCCTCAGATGAACGCTGTGCGGGGGGGCACAGTGACATGGAGACCCCAGCCGTGGCAGGACGGGGACGGCGGGGGTGGGGAGCCCCTTTCTGACAGCGACTCTGAGGAGGAAGACTTCCCTGATGACAGCACCACTCCACTGGGGGACTACATCACACACGGTGCGACT